GTGCATCCTGTCCAGAAGTGTACTACAGAGTCTGTTTAGCGCCAACATGCGGGTGGCGCATGGAAAGCTTCCCATGAAGCAGTTCCTGCGCCACTCGGTGCAGATCTTCAACTCGCCGCCCGTGCTGAATGCAAAGCATCCAGTGGCCGCCGATCCCAAGGTGCAGCAGCATCTGGAAAACTTCTTCCGCTATTGCATCAACATGAACACATTTACCCAGTTTATACGGATCTGCGGCTTTAATCGCGCCAGGCAGCGCGATAAACTGGCGCGACTGATAGAGAACTTCGACACCATCCAAGTGGATGCAGCGCGGCTGGACTCGCTGATGAACCAACTGGCTAACGAGCGGGCCATGGAGGGAAACGAGTCCATGGCCACCGCTCTGAAGCACAGCACCCACTTCTCCACCTGGGTGCTGTACAACTGCTTCCGTGCAATGCTGATCTTCCTGATGTCCGGCTTCGAACTGGAACTGTATGCTGTGCATGAGTTCCTCTACATCTACTGGTACCCCTACGAGTTCCTCATTGGCTTCCTGGTCTCCGCCTTGACGCGCACGGAGAACATTCTGCTGGCCCAGGAGGAGTACGCCGAGCACCAAAGCAAGATTCAGTCGGGCGGCAAAAACCGAAAGGCTGCCAAGCCGAAAAAGAACAAAAAGCAACAGCGACCGTATCGCGCCGAGATCGTCTTCTATCACGCATTACTCAGCCTGTGCGGCGGAATGTACAAGGCCATGGGCGCCTTGACCAAAGACGGACGTGTGCGCCTGCCGCTGTCCAAGTTTGACAACGAGGAGATCCGCTACAATCGCCGCTTCCTGCCCTTCGCCACGCTCACCAGTCCGCCGCCCGTATCGTACGCAGAGTTCAAGAACATCCGGGAGCACATGATGCGCCCCAGCGTCGAGGATCTGTACACTTACGCGGCCAAGCACTTTGACCAGGCGCGCAATGTTCTCGAGAGCATCCAGAATCCCGATCAGGAGGTAAGCTAAAGGAGTTCTTAATGTAAAGCTTATAAATTAAGATGTTTTTTTAGATGCTGGACCTCCTGCAAATCGCTCGAACCAACTTCGTGGTGATGAATGTGCTGGCCCGCGGTCACCAGAAGGAATTGAAGCGCCAGCCAGAGTTTGACTTCTCCAAGCACAGCTACTTCCCCATCATCAAGCTGAAGTAGAAGATGTTCATGTGTTCCGTAATTGACAAGAATTAAATTTATATGTATGCATTTTAATGTCAACTCTGATCCTCCGCCGCAATGTCCTGCTTGATGAGCAACTCCTCCACGTAGCCCTCGATGGGACAGCTCTTGGCACAAGTATAGACCGCCAGGACGCCCCAGTCGAGGTTGTCGTCTTCGAGCAGCGTAAGAGCCTGCGGCATGATTTGGAACTCGAACTGGCGGGCTCCTCCGCAAACGGAGCAGTTGGGCAGCTCCTTTAGTTGATTCTCCACCGTTGTGGCTATGTTGGTGATCCACAGAGGCTGTCCTCCCCGTTTGTAGCGCACAATCTGATCGGGTTCGGCGGCCGTTTGCTTTTTGAACTGACGGAAAGTCTTGTCATCGGCAGCCGTCGTGTTTCCAAAGTACTTGTCCATCTCCGCCTCGGAAACGTTGCTCAGGTCTCCTGTCTTTCCACTGGCCTCCAGTTCCTGGAACTCGGCCAGGCGAGCCTCGTCGTCTTTGTCATCTTCGCCGGATTCTATGGGATTGCTGTCCATCACAATCTCAAATTCAGGGAAGACTATTTGGGCCAGAGGTGAAGCAGTGGTTCCTCCTGCTGTCCCGCAATTGGGCTTGTGCTGCGGCCAGTGGGCCCGCTGGTGCTCCGAGGAGCAGTAGTGGATGGCCTTGCACTTGCTGCAGGCGTGAGGAGCATGGCATCCACAGGCGGCGCACAGTTTCTTCAGGCTGGCAACGGCGGGCTAAAAATATATACTATAAGTAAAAGGGATATATAGGGTTACAAATGCTGTTCCTACCAGGGGATCTCCCACGTCGCTCGGCTCCTCCTCCGAGTAGAACTTGTTCTTCCGCGGCAACTGTGACCTCAGCACAGTGAAATTGCTGAAAAGGCAGGGAAAATTAAATATCTAGTCGACCAACATTGCTGGACAGGATTACCTCGCGTTCTGGGCCTCCTGGCAGTCGGGATTCCGGCAGAGGAACACATAGATCGAGCGGTGGAAGTTGAACCCATCCTCGAAGGGGGCGTACAGCTGGACCAGGAAGGATTTGGGCGCCTGGCACTTGCTGCACTGCATCTGCGAAGTGGGCGGCAGGGACTCGAGTTCCAGCCAGGCGGGCTGGCCACCCAACTTGCTGGGAAAGTACCGGTTACTTAGCCAGGCGGCATCGTCGCTTTTCTCCGCAAATCCCAGATCAATATCCATTTCCACCGATCGAAAAAAAACAGAAATGTGTTCGGTGAGACCGTAATTGGGCCGCCAGAAAATACCAATTTCAAAATTTACTATAACTAAAAACCCAACATATATTTTAGGGGAATCACACTGTTTAGTATTTTGGCGCATAGTCCGGAAATTTGTAATAATTTTATTAATATTGAATATTGAATCTGTTTGAGCAATACTTCGCTTATTATATATTTTATTTTATAGCTTATTTATTGTTTTTCCTAAAAACATGAAAAGAAATGTATTTTCAATAGGTTTAAGATATTAAAATAATAGAAATAAGGGGGTACCTAAAACAAATAATAAAAATACATCAGTCCATAACATGGCGGTTAAACATCTTAAATAATATAAAATTCTAACAAGACAAATAATTGTAATTCTAATAATTTCACATTTATATACATTTTAAATGAATATTCACCTAAATCCTTAAATATAATAAATTCTTAAGTGGTAATTTACAAATATAAATAGAATTTCAAGCAACAGAACCTGAACATTGCAAATCAAAACCCCCTATTTCTACGCCCCTGATAACAAAGCTCAATAACGACGGTATTTGGTATTTTCCCCAACGCTTTTGCGCGACATCCAAGATTTTCGCCACTTCAGTATGCGGTCATCTCTCAAAGTTAAAAGTTAAGTTCTCCGAACTGATTTAATTCGTATTTTATTTACCATTGTGATAAACGCGTGTGAAAAACAAAGACTTTCCAATTACCTGCGAACCCAAAAAGATTTCCGAGCGAAAGTGCAAGTGGACAAAAACGAGCGGAAAAACGGGTTTTCCATTTGATTTGATTTTGATTGTGAAAGCGCAAGATTTGTCAACGCAAACAAGCAAGAAGAGGAGCCCGTGGATAGCGTAATATTTGTTAATAATAATAGCATCGCGAAAAACAACAACAACATTGCGGAAGCAGAATCTTCGACTTATCGTGTTGCCCATTTCCGTCGCAGGGCTAAAAATAAAACCACCCACGCTCCCCTGCCCCCAAAAATCACCACCCACACCCCGCCCACAATTAACCCACACCCACGCACAATTTTGGAGAGGTAAACTTGTGTTGACTTTTCCAGCGCGCGGACTTTTCCGGAGGAAAATGCAAAAATGAGAGTTCGAGCAGCCAGCAGACAACTGGGAATTTGCGTAAGTTTAAAGCTGATGCTTCCTGGTTTTGGATTACAGGGTATCAGTATTTGTTGGTGAGAGAGTGAACCAAAAAGGGTTTTTTTTGTTGCTCGAAATAAATACGTTCACTTAAAACAGATGTTGGATGAACACATAAGTAGTGAAAAATCAAGTAAATTTAATAAATTTGTTAGAGCACAAAAAGAAAACTTGTTACATGTGATGTGATTAACAATAAAACTTGATTAAATGAAGGAATCACCTTAGATATTAAAAAACCAACTTTAGTTTTGGATCTCTACTAGGTATCCCCACTTCGAAACCCCATATTTCTGCTAACTTTCTGCCTGCCAAAGAGCCGGGTGAGCTTTTATTTGCTAAATTTAGTGCCGCATTGCTGAAAATAAGAATGGGAGCACCCTGCCATCGGTTGCCGGTAGGCAGACACACATAATACATATGTATAATCGCCCATGATGGCCAGTATATATAGCGTACATCTCTCGCCAGGCCAGATGACTCGACTGCCACTCGAAACTGTTGCACGATTTATCCCATCCCGACCAATCGATACCTCCAGAGCCCAGCCTCAGTGCAAACTTTGGCTTGGAGTCCTGCCTAAATCAATAAACGCCTCAAATCCCTGCCATATTGCGTCCATTGTAATGTCAGCACACATTCTCGGCCAAATCCAAAGGCATTTCCACTCGGCTGCAGGCATTTATGCGTCCACTCTGCGGCCTCCACTGACAGGCCAGGCAATAAATATTGAAAATTCAATTACCCGTCATGCAGGCAGACGAAATTCCATAAAATTATTATAACCAGAGTGCGAATAGCAGTATGTATGTATGTGCCTGTGCATAGCTTTCGGTTACTTTAAGTAAATAAATAAACCCATCTTCTGACCACATTTTCACTCAATCTGCCGAGTTGGCAAAGCCTTATTGCTTTACCTCGCATGCAGGCTATTGATTTTAATTCGCCCCGTAATCATCTTGCTTCATTTGGCCACCGTATTTATGCTTTTCCCATGAAAGCCTGACTTTCTTTGGACCCGCTTTCCCTTGGCCCTTCGCTTTTCCTCACTGCCAACAAATGTGTGCGGACAAATGGCTGTGTATTTCAACGCTGGAAAGCATTAATTAAAATGCATTGGACTGGGGAAGCTATCAGTTGCATGGACATTTCATTGATTCGGAGATTCATTAATATTTGAGGGGATAATTGCTTGCTACCTACCTTTCAAGACTCACAATTCAGCCCTAGCAACTTCACAGAAAATTGTCAGTTTAAAATTAAGTTAGGAACACATTTCTATAAATAAATTAAATTACAAAGAAGTAATAAAATCGGCCCTTTGTTGAAACAAAAAAAAGATAAGAGTAAATAGTTTGTTATTTCTTATACATAAGAATTATTTCTTATCACTCAGTAAATTTGAGCTGTTCTTGCTTTCCGTTCCCTTTGCTCTCCCATTCACACCCCAATTTACTCAGTTCTTTTTACTTCCTTTCCGCTATTTACTCAGTCGGCAGTACTTGCAATTACACTTGTTTTTCTACGCCCGCTTTGTTTCTCATTCGCATTCTGATTGGAGCGCCAACCGCCAAGTGAGTCACTCCCCAAGGTTATTCAACGTAGCTCTCTTTTTTCCTCAAGCTCTCAGGTTCTCCATTTCTCCCGACTGGTTAAGTATATCGAATGATAAAGGCCAACGGACGATCTTTGGCTCACACGATAGCCGATATCAATATCAGATACCCAGTCAAGTGGCTCTCTTTTTTTAAGAGATAGAGTCAAGCGATGTCATCGCAGGGCTTCTGGGTTCCTATAGAGCATTTGTGGGCTTTCTTTCGGGTCAGCGAGCAGATAATACCCCATTCCAAAGTTAACCGCTTCCGAGTCCCAGATAATCTGCTAATTAAAGCTAAATAGATAGTAAGGGTTGAGTATTTGAGGAACTTAATATGTAGAAAAGTAACTGTTTTGACGTTATCTACAATTAGCATGTTAGCTGTATAATATCTGCCCAGTTTAAGTGTATTTACTTACTTATATGTAGGTATATATTCGTTCTAACATTTAGCTTCTTATTATCTTAACAATTTTTACACATATACAATAAAATAAAAAAAGAAAAGCTATCTTAATATATATTTTTTTTACCATATTTATATTTCCAAAACCTTTTCCAGTAGATAAGCTTTAAAACGATAACCATTTTTGGTAAACTTTTAATTCTATGTTAGAATTATTATTTTTTTTTTCAATTATTTGCATAAAATCTTTAATTTATTTTCGTCTTATTTGGATTTATTTTATTATCGTGTCTATATTGCAAAAACGAAGCATAGTCCGCTTTTAAGTTTTTTAAATACCGGGGAACCCCCTATAAAACTATTCCCCCTGAAAGCCACCCTGTCAATGACTCAGCTTCCACTACTAAAATACTCCCTATACGGAATTGTTGCTCATATTATTGTTCTGACTAAAGCAAACATAATCAGAGGTGAGCGTTCCGGTGAGCTTTTTGTTGTCAACTGTTTTTGTCGTCGAGGTGGCGTTGGTTACTACTGGTTAGGTTCTCTCCTGGCTGGGAGGAAATTGATAAAGTCTACGGGAATGCCACTATCGATGACGGGCCACAATGGAAGCCCATTGTTTGCTCTTATCTGACCAGTTATTGTTACTCCACCAGCAAGCATAGTTATTTATTTATTTACTTTATTTATTTGGTGCATGGTTCGATTGCGTGCGTCATGCGGGGAAAGATGTGATTCTGGTGATTCATGCCAGACGAGTGCATCCTCATCCTCATTCCCTTGGTAGAAAATCAATAGGGCTCAAGGCTCTCGAGATGTTTGCAGTAGTGTAACCTTGCGGCTTTGTTTTGCAGGAGCCGGAGGCGCCTTGAATGAGAGTCCTCAGCCCGACATGTCAGATTTCGTGCCGCGCGACCTCCTCCCCGATCTGTGGGAGGAGATACTCCGGCGCCACTGGATGTTCCTCGAGACGGAGGAGAGCATGCAGAAGCTCGAGGAGCGCAAGCAGCTGGAGGGTGAGTGGGTCATCTAATCCTGCTCCTCAGTATATCTAAATAAATTCCATTTACAGGCTGCCTGAAGGAGTTCCTCTGCGTGGTGCAGCACGATCGCAAGTTCTTCCTGCCGGAAACTGGGCTTGTTCTGCGGCGATCCGTGCGTGAGCTTCCGGACTTTTCAGCCCAGAATGCCCTCGTGGCCTTCGAGACCATCAGCCAGTATGCCAACAACCTGTTTACGAAACCCTGGCGGAAGGAATATCGCACTCTTAAGACCTATTCGGGATGCTTCCAGCACGACATCCAATCCCGCCTGCTGGACGCCGAGCAGCTCTTCCTGGCCATGGGTTACCGGCGGGTCTCCGAAGACACCTTCGTCCTCGAGGGACCCATCTGTCCGGACCAGGTGACGAATGTGTCGCGCGATGCCATGGCCGCCTACGTGGAGTGCCAGATCATGAAGCACATCTATGCGGGAGTCACGGCGGCGGGATACAGCTGCACTTGGAAGGACATTTTGCAGTATCGCGAGCGAATCGTGGGTGGCACGTCGAGGACCATCAAGGAAATGGTCAGCCAGCTGAGTGAGAAACGGATGCGCAAGGAGCAGCAGCAGCAGTCGCAAGTGCAGGAGAATACCTACAGCAATGTGGCTACAGTGGCGCCACCAGCCGGTTGTGTCCTCCACGGCAGCAACAACCTGGCCACGCATCATCCCAGCAGCTCCGGCAGTTGCGCCCTGCATCCAAATGGCTTAAACGAGGTGGGAAAGTATATGCCGCCGTATCCAGCGCCTCCGCCGCAGTCACATCTGTCTGGTCCTTTAATGACGCACTCTCGCAGCTTGGAGCACTACCAGGAGCCGCATGCCCATCTGCCGCATCGCCACTCCTTCGACCAGCAACACCAGCAGCAATGTCAGCTGCCCCACGTCTACGAGGCGCCCTACGATTGCCTGGATGGCCTGAGCATGGGCAGCAGTGCCTCCTACGCGGCTGTGGCTGGTGCCTATAATGCTCCAGGAAATCGCTATCCGCTGCCGTACAACATCTCCAGCCAGCTGAATGCACCCTATGCCGCGCCCGTCGATGTCTATGGCAGCGGGGAGAACGCCAACATGTACGCCACGCTGGGAAAGACGGCTGCAGCCCACAGCTGCGACTTCCATCGTCGTCAGCCGAGCACTTCTGCAGCTGCCGCCGCCGCCTTGGCCGCAATGCAGCATCGGCAGAGCACCTATCCGCCGGACCACCATCTCATCGACTTTGACGAGCGGGCGCATCTCACGCAGCACGACTTTGGGACGCACGACTACGATCCGCAGTACGCAGAGCTGAGGGCTCAGGTGCAGCCCAGTATGCGCAGCAATCCGGCTGCAATGTATGCCACCTACGGGGGCTACGATCTGCCCACCACGCTGCCGCAAGCGCAAGCGCCAACGTCGCAGGACATGTACATCTATGCCCGTCCGGTGCCCAAGAGCAGCCGGATGCGGGCGCTGGCCGAGGCGGGGGGCATAAATCCGACTGACAAGCATCCGCGATCAGCGGAAAGGCAGGTGAGTTGTAAAGGGTTTTATATTTTAGCAATGTTTCTCATTCTTCACCTATACCCAAAACAGAATACCATGGACAATAATCGCAAGATGCACAAGGAATTGAAGGAGCGGTCTAGCCGAACGGCTCCAGCGAAGAGATCGGGCAACGAACGTGATATACCCACCACCATTTCCGACATGAACAGCTACGACTCGGCCAGTCTGGATGGTTTTGTGGCCCTGGACAGCGCTTCGCCGCCCCTGATGCCCAAGGTGCAGGAGGGCGTGGGCAGTTTCGAGTCCTGGAACTATGTATTCAAGAACCTCGAGCGCTCGGGCTACACCAAGGACTTGGGCGACCGCGAGGACTTGCTGGTACAGAGCCTGGATCTGGACTCGCTGGCCATAACGAATAACGGAGTGCCAGCTCCTCCTCCGGCGGAGAAGCGACGCGAGCCCACAAAAGCCACGAATGGCGAGAAGGCGCGCACGCTGGAAAAGAAATCCGGGACGAGTCGACGCGAGGCGAAGGTGGTGACGGCCCCGGCGCCAAGTCCTTTGCCCAACAGCAGCAGTGCCGGCGTGAAGAAGAAGTCTGCCTTGAAGTCGGCCATCGTGGACAATCGGGGAACAGGATCGCGGCATCGCACGGGAGCTGTGCCCAAACAGCCGCCGGCCGTCTCGCCGCAGCTGATCGTGACCAGTCCGAACGAGTGGAGCTGCAGCTTCTGCACGTTCCTCAATCCGGACACCAAGCGCATCTGCGAGATGTGCTGTCGCAGCAAGGACTTCAATCTGGAGGCCGCCACGGCGGCTTCCTCCTCGGCCGCTGCAGCTGCCGCAGCTTCGGCGGCCAGTGTGTCGCACGCATCCTCGACCTGCGTCTAGGATGCAGCTCGTCGGAACAAACCCCTCGTTAGTGATACAAATAGCAGTGTATAGCTTGATATATATTTTTTATACGACCAATGTAAGCCTGTGCGCGTGTCTCCAAGATCTAGTCTCGTAGTCTCGTCGTTCGATGGCAGGCAAGAAACCCTTTGTTATCCGGATCCATACTCCGTGGATCGCAGCGGATGGCGCTGCAGACGGACGATAATGTGTGCGTCTGTGGCCTGTACATATGAAGTATTCTAATTAGTTACCCCTACTTGTAAACACACGCTTTAATTAGTTTTAGATTGTTTCCCCATTGTTAAGGGCGCTTCTGTTTCAAATTACGTGCCTCCCTGTATAAGTCATCTATATATATATATATATACAACACACATATAGACATTTATATATATTTGTACGTGTGCATGCGACGCGAAAAGCGAGAGAGTGAAATTTGAACTTGGACATTTTCTAGGAAATCAACTGATAATTATATACCTTATACTAAATAGTTGCATTCACAGTACATACGTATTTCCGACAGTAAATCAGAGTACATAGCAGTTCTATACCGAAACTTGCATAGATAATACACACCTATAGCCGTAACTTAAGCGATTTCAATTCGAAGAACCGAGCTAAGCATAATGCGAAACATAAATAAATCGAACAGAACTGGTACGGGTTGTAAACTTGAAATTTTTGATTCAAATTTTATCAGAAAGGAGTAGCTGGAACTACAGTTCCTCACTTCATCCAATGTGCATGGACAGCCGAAGAGTAAACCACGTCATCCCACCCACCCAAGCTATGTGACAATTCCCAAAGCTAATTTGTTTGTTAATATGTTACTATTGATTACCTGTTGATAGCATCCCCGTAGAATCGAAAAGCACTCGAGATATTTTTATAAAGAAGCGAAACCACGTACCTATTGCTCTATGTTAAATAGTTTATTATATATTTTTTTTGTACCTTTTTGTTAGCGTTTCGAGTCCCAAAGGCCTTTCTGTATATGCCATTTGCAAGCAAAACGAAAGAGGAAAATATGTAGATTCTAGACCGATAAAGAATTGAAAGAATCATTGAAATTAAACTTCACTAAAGCCATTTAGGCAAAACCTTCGCTCAAACCATTTTATTACATAACTTTGCATACTATTACCGAATGAATTTAGTGGCAGCTCTTCCTAATAAACCCCTAACGAAAAAATAACAATAAAAATACAATTTTGACAAATCGATGACTAGTTTGAATGGGAGGAACTTTCTATCAGTTCTTTATACTTCACATTGCCTTAAATATTGCTTAAATTGTAGTAAAATGATTTTGATATTACCCGTGATACTCTTTATTATGCCCTTGACTTCTGGCTATAACTACTGCAACAACAAGACCCACGTGTGCGATTTGGCCAAAAGGAAGCATTTCATGTGCCGACTGGAGGATCTGGCACCCTTTCAAAATACCAAGTACCACGCCATCGTTCCGGACAACCAAGTTGTGCGAAGGGAAACGCTGGGCATACTCAACACTTTCCGGAACACTTTCGCTGGCGGGGATCTGATGACGAATGAGAACAAGACCTTCCGGAGTGCCAAGCGGATGAGGAGGCTCAACTGGGACGAGGAGCTGGCCTACCTGGCACGCAGCCACGCCTCCACCGTGTCCTTTAAGCACAGCGAGTGTCGTTCCACCCTGCGATTCCCTATGGCCGGCGAGGTTCTGGCCCTGTTGCCAGGATCTAAAAAGGAGAAGTTCAATGTACTCGAGATAATGGAGAAGGCATTCAATCCAATGTTCGAAGAGTACAAATATGTCGTGGATCCCGAGGGCCTCCTAGATGGCTTCGATCCCGACAGGTGAGCTAGGTTCACTAGGTATTCTAAACCTAGAATAACTCTAAATTGATTCAGGGACTACTACGTGGGTCACTTCTCTCTCCTCGTCAGCGATCGAGTGTCCCGTGTTGGCTGTGGCATTGCCGTGGGTTCGAACTGCCGTGTCGGCGATAAAGTCGGTTTCTGCCACTTCCTCACCTGCCACTTCGACTACACCAACGTGGAGGGTTCGTATGTTTATAAGGCCGGAGAGCCGGCCAGTAAATGTAGTGACTGGAACGCAGATGCCAGCAAAAAGTATTCTAATTTGTGTGCAAACTCCGGCGAATTATTTCCACCTGTGAGATTTTGGTCCTTCAAGTTAACCCTTTCTAATCCATATTTGTTTGCAGAATAAGGGAGACTAAAAGAACGTTTCTATATACAGAAATATCAAAAAATAAAATAGTCAAGGATCCTAAGTCGAACCAAAGTTCATTTACTTTAACATCAAGATATTCAGTACTGCATAAATTCCTAGTAAAATGATTTCGAGTCTAGTTTTACCATTAATATTGCTATTGCCAATAGTTTCGGGCTATAACTATTGCAACAACAAAACCCATAAGTGCGTTTTGGAACAATCCGAACATTTTATGTGCCAACTGCACAAGTTTAGTCCCTTAGGCGGTTATACACGGTATTATGAAACAGTTCCAGATACCCCGCTCCTACAAAATAAAATACTGGGAATATTAAACAAATTTCGGAACCGTTTCGCAAGCGGGGAACTTTGGACGAATGAGAACAGGACCTTTGCAAAGGCCAAACGGATGCGCAGGCTCATTTGGGATAACGAACTGGGCTATATGGCCCGTGCCCATGCCTCCACAGTTTCATTCAAGCACTCGGAATGTAGGGCCACATCGCGATTCCCCTACGTAGGAGAAGTGCTGGGCATGATAGTTCCCAAGCGCCATCCCAAGCCCGATTTACATGACTTATTGCACAAGATGTTCAACAAGATGTTCGACGAGTACCAGATAGTTCATGATCCAGAGGGACTACTCCAGGGCTTCCATCCCGTCAGGTGAGCTAGGTCCCAAAAGGCGAGGCTTTGGCTAACCCTAGAAAGTTCCCACAGGGACTACCACTGCGCCCACTTTACCAACATTATCAGCGATCGAGTCTCTCGGGTGGGATGTGGAGTTGCCGTGGGTAAAAACTGTCGCCACGGATCACATACCAAGTGAGTACGGGGTATAATAATTCGGTATATAACGTCTTTGAAAGAGCCCTGCATGAATCAACAGTGTTTGAATCCTTTTTTCTCAGTATGAATCACTTCGAATCATTTTTAGGGATCCTATGATTTGAATACAACAATTTGTGGTTTAAGTTTTGCTCATGTAAGATTCAAAACAGATAATTCGATCGTCAAACCGAAGCTGGTTCCAATGATTTAAATCCATTATATATTAAGTTTAAAATAATAACAGGTTAAGTACAAAGCGTGTAGATACCTTGGATTCATTCAGGGCGCATTCAAGCTGTTTTGGTAACTGATCCTTCCTCTTTAATCCTGGTTCTCCGCCAGCTTCTGTACCTTTCTGACCTGTCACTTCGACTTTACCAACTTGAACGGATCGTATGTCTATAAGGCTGGGGAACCTGGCAATTGTGAGGACTGGAACACGTCGAATAGTAATAAGTTAACCAGTCTGTGCCAAAACAATGGCGAACTTTTTCCACCTGTAAATAAGAGTTATGCTTGAATAGGTTCACCCTAACCTATCTATTCCGCAGGATCATGGCGACTAGATATTTTATACATTTATGTGTTTTAATCCTGTCACTTCGACTTCAACAGCATAGAGTGATCGTTCTATAAGGCTGGGGAACCAGGAACATCCTGTAATGATTGGTACGTTCATAGCGAAGTGTATGCCCTTCCTTGGCCCGACTTTTCCTTACGTAAGTTTGGATTGTAACCTCATTAAATACCATTTTGTTGACCGCTGAAATTCCGCAGGACCACGACGATCGGTAGTTTAGTGAAAGACCTTTTGTGAGGTGTTTAATATATTCGTACATTCATATATATTTTCTTATGCTTTCTCTCGCCTAAGGGTTCTGAAAGCACAGGAGACCAACTTTGAACCCGAAATACAATCCTTACAATTCCTACGATCCATTTCGAATTTATTTCTAGACTGATGCGAGTTTTCGGCCTTCTTCTTACACAGCTATTTGGAAAATGTACTTGTTTTCGATTTCGCATTTTACTACTCATTTTACATTGTAATTTTCTACTTCCATCTAACAGCTAACAGACTTAGTCGGTTTTTGCTTCGCTATTCTTTTCAATTTTCAAGTTAGATTCAAGTGGATTTGTCGAGTGAAACCAGCTTCATCTTCGGAAAAAATCTTTAGCATACACGTAAAGCAAATATTAAACATTCAACGATTCTAAATAAGGACCATATTAACCTTCAGACTAAGTTTTGCATATTCGTTTGTTTTTCTTCGAGTAATTAAGGTTCGTATCGTCATTTCGATGAAGTTAACTTAGTTTCGCATTTGCAGAGTGCCTAGGCTTTTTTTTTAATTTCCCCAAAAAACGCCACCGATTTGGGTCTAAAAACGGGCACAAAAGTGCCGACATGCTTATTCTATGGTTTTGCTGATGTGTGGATAACTTTGACTAGTAGCGTTATCTAAGCGGGCCCTTCCGGTTTAACTAGTACTTTCGCCTGGAACTCTTCTAAATTTTGTTTTTTGAAAACACTTAGAGTTCTGTTTGGAATGCACTGGAATGCCACACGTCTTACTGTTTGACCTTTTCTCGGGGGTCGTATTCCATCTTCTACACTTCTTCTGTACATTTAGAAAAATACATATAAATATTAATGAGGGGTAAAGCAGCTAGGGGAATTCTTATGAAGAAATCGGGGATGACAAGCTCAAAAGGTTGGGCAAAAAAACGTTTCAAGAGTCTTTTGAATGGGATATATAAATTTCCAAATATTAAGAACACACTCAAAGATATTTAGATGTTCATCTGCAAGGTGGGTAATATTACCTATCAATTAATTTCGTAATTTCATCCTAACCAATTTCAATCAATCCGCACCGATTCTCCTAAGTCCTACGGCTAACACCAAAAATATATATTTACCGCTGGATTCGCTGGTAGTTGTTTCCCCCACTTTTAAAGCCCCTAAAGCGGCTGGCCAATTGGCATTCCATAAATGTTCCTTCCATAGATCACCGATTCGATTTCGATTTCGATTCCCTCTATAATAACGTATATCAGTGCAGCATTACCTTAAAATAATGTGCAAACATTCAGTGCTAATTACGTGAAATGACGCGCTTCCCTCAAAAAACATGTACATTGTAATAATTGTAGTTGTTCAGCAAATCCCTGGGAGAATCCTTTGGATATTGTCCCCCTACAAAATGTTGCATCCAGATCCGTGCATCACCTCGCTGATAAACATGGGCGTTCCAGCGCCCAGTCCGCCATCCGTCTTCTGGTGTTCATTCTGAAAAAGGAAGAGGGTTTTTGAGATCTGACACTCAGAATTCACCACTGCATCGTCTCACATCATCGTAGTCGCAGTCGAAGTAGTGACTCTGGCACTCCATGCACCGACAGCTCTCGGACATTTTGCAGGTGATGCCCCACTGCTTGGCCAGGTCCTTGTAGATCTCCTTGCTCGTCTTGTTGCTCATCATCTCGGGCGTTAGCAGGCTGGTGTGGCAATTGGGTTGCTGGCCCTGCTGCTGGATCTGCCGCCGTCCACTCCGCCCGCTCCGGGATGCAGTCGATCCGGAGGCGGAACCGGTGCAGCAGGCCTCCTGGCATCCGGAAGCAGGTCCCGAACTCGCATTGCCACCTGGAAAGGATGTAAAGTAAGCATAAGTAGTTTTAGTTTCGCGGTTTAAATTATATAAAGTTAAAAAATGATTTATCCATTTATGAATCTCAAGAATTCGCGTCATATCAATGGTTTTAGTTCTCACCTTCACTGTAGTTGCCATAGCTGCCTCGATTCAAGAGTGGATCGTAGAAGTTATGTCCACCTCCGGATGAGGTCGCCGCCTGGCTGCTTGTGCTGGCTGCATCCACGTCGAAGGACGCCCCGTGAACACCACCACCACCCTCGCCACAGGCACGTTCCTCGCTGCACTGGGCACACTGGTCGTCCTGGCACTGATCCTCATCCACTCCCGACCCAGATCCTCCAGCCGCATATCGATCCTCCCCACGGCGCGATGGCGAGGCCGCCATCTCCGTCTCCAGCAGGAACTCGTTGATGCTCAGCTGCTCCTCGTTGTCGCTCCGCAGTTCCAGTTCGGTGACGCCCTCGAAGATCTGCTCTCCGTCGTTGTTGTTGTTGCTCTGAATGTGGCTGCTGCTGTGGCCACCGGTGGCAACGTTGTTGTTCAAATTCTGCCTGCAGTCCGGGTCATTGCAAAAGTCCCCGGCTCCGGATGCTCCATTCCCGGCCAGCTGCTCCAAGGCGGCACTCAGCTGGGCGGCACTGTGTCGCGAGCTGTTCGCCGAGCTGCGCCGGCTGTTCTGGTTCGGAGTGGCGCTGTCCAGGGACAACTGTCGCTGGTGTTGGGATAGCCGGGTGTTCTGGAAGAGGTGGAAATAAGTGGTAACATACTTTTAATTGGTGCCGCAGCACGGATCCATAAAATCCCCCCTTCCCTTATCGGGTGAGAAGTCAAAGTAAATTTGGTACTCAAAAAGAACGCACCAACAAATTAATTTTAAAAAACCACAATGCTTCCAAATCGTGAATAGGGGCTGTCCATTAGGGCGGTCCCATTTGTATGAAAATTTTTGAAGTCCTACTTTTATCCGCCGGTGTAAATTGTAGTATTTAAGGTATTCCAAAAAAAAAATTTTGAAAAAATCGCGTTTTAGGGTCTTCGAATTGGCTTTAAAGTTTATCACCCATACGCACTGTTGCCCTTGATAAAAAAGTTTTTTTAATCTAGGTGGCGTAGATTTCAACAATTTATTAAAGCTTTACTCTCCCTTTTTTATTTGTAAGATTTATTTTTATAAGACATGAAATGGGAGAATGATTTTTTCGACCAAATTCGAACTGTTATACGTGTCGTATGAGTAATTTTTAAGCAAACTTTGAGAACGTTTCGCAAGGTCTAAATCACGAAAAAAAAATTTTGTTTTCACCGCCCTACTGTCCATATGTTACGTTAACAAAAAAAATTTGTTGCACTAGAGGTGATTACGTAACATATGGGCAGCACCATATCGACACTGCGATAATTTTTCTGGAGTCTTTGTTTTTAAAATACTTATAAAATTATCGATTATCTCACCTCTTCTAGCACATGCTCGTAGGAAGGCGGTGGGGTGGTGGGCACGGTATCCGCATCAGTATCCGTCAATGATTCGTTGATGCACGGAGTGCGGCTCTGGTTAAGATATCCTATAATAAACCGTCATTTTAGCCATACATAAATGTTTCAGGAAATGCTTTTACATGATCATAATAATTCCTATTTAACTTGAACTTTATTTAGGATATTCCAAAAAGAAGGTGAGTGCAATAGCGTTGGATAGAGTCGTGCGTGGAGTAGAATTTGTTTGGAAATATTAAGGATCTGTAACTACTTTGTTAACCTCACAATTGTGATTAGCATGCAATGTACTACACAGAACCAAAAAAGGTGAGCTGCCAAATAATTGGTAAAGTTTAAAAAAAATTAATGCCCTTAGTTAAAAAACTAATTTAGTTTCTCGCTCAAAATCTGTTATCATTTAAAATAATATTGATATTGATAAAGTTAATAAAATCTACTATATTTTATATGATAATACAAAATGAATAATGAAAAATTAACCTTATAAATGGCATAAGAATCAAAATATTTTAAGCTGCTTTTTTTAAGTTTAGTAATCACATTAATTTGTATAATACCCCAATGAAATAAAACGCTCGCAATTCATTTGTTCTCTGTGTGTAGGATGCTAGTGTGTCCGATCCTTACCCAATCGCATGGTGTTGTTGGTGGTGGGCGGCAGGAGCAGCTTCCTCTCGCTGCTCAGCTGGCCGAGACTGCTGGAATCGGCGAGATCGAGGCTGGAGCTGCTACTGGCCTCCACCGCCTCCTGGAGTGGCTGCGGATGCGCCTGCTGCTGGCTCTGGGCGCCCAGGAGCGCCTCATTGACCTGCGGATCGGGATCGTGCTCCTGCGAGGTGCTGCGCGAACTGCCCATCCGGAACTTGAGCTTGAAGGGCGCCATAGATCCTCCTCTTTTCGCTGGCTTATGGTTACCTTTCTACTGCGATATCTTTTCTATTCGAACGGGCATTGGATGTTGCGGCAGACTTGACAACATCGAAAATTACGGAAGAAGGTACAGAAATTACGGAAATTACAGAAATATAGAGCACGTGAGAGAGATAACGAGAGGGATAGAGCATAAAAACAGCTTTACAATACGGTTCTATTTCAGAGGTGGTGACTTGATTACGAACAAAGAGTAATAAACACAGATTTTCCATTGGATGTACATTTACGCCAATACTAATTGATTTGGTTGAATGAACATTTCGGTTTTCAGCTCTTGTCGCTTTTGATTAGTGGCATGCAATGGTTTTGATTTAACTTAATTATAGTGCAGCTTACAGCGCAAATTACCTGGTTGTCCGAGAGCAGTCACCTGTAATGAAATAATGGCGAAATTTCACATGTGAGTGCCGAATTGGAGAGAGGAATAATGTAGTTAACACTTTAACACTTTACACCTAAATATGCATACAAATATGAGATGTCTTTTTCAGATGTTTGCCAGCACTTGATTAAAAATCGACCCATAGTCTAAAGCTCTTATGTATGTACATTTAATATGGATATTATCTTTTCAATTTTCAGTTTTACCCCAACTCTAGAAAGAATTCGCAAATGACCGATTTTACACCCGCCCACCTGAGCTGTTTATAGTTTCTGTGTTTTTGCGACAAGTTGTTAAACATTTGGGTAAGCGTCGCCTGGGCCACGCCCTCCTTTCTGCCCCCTTTGTCATTATTATGCAGATTGCTCCAAAACCCACTTTTGCAAGCCCATCCAAAAGATACAAGATGCACAAAGTCTGTCTTGGGCGCACAGGCAAACTATTATTATGCTTATTGCGCCGAGGAAGCTCATTAAGTCTTGGATGGAAGCGTCCTTGAAGGATGTGCATGTGCATGTGTTCCATATGCCCCATTCGGGTGCATGCATCCCAATTAAGGTCTATTTGCATCCGATATCCATCAACTTTTGATTGAAAACCCATCACCGAACAGGTGAAAAGATGGCTCCACATAATTTGGCAAACATTTAACTTGCCATATTTGCCGACAATAAACTGCCAATTGGCGGTGTTGACTCGGCAAGCAGATTCATAAGGATCTGCTGATTGGATGCACACCAATCCCCACCCTCCCTTCCCGTAGACTCGTCAGCCCGAAGGTCGAACAATTGCAAGGAATCTCAGGCCCCCAATACCCATTTCATCCCCCAAAATCATCCACATACCAAGCATTTTGTGTGCGAATTATTCTTGCTTGGGAATTGTTTGATTTGTGGGTCGGGGAAAAGATTGTGATGATTTAAATCTAAGGAAATATGTACTTCACATAGGCTATTAAACAAACTTCTGAATATAAAATATTCTTAAATATTGCATTATATTAGAAACTTAAAATAACAGTTCAATATCGTTATAAATAAATGTTCAAAATATGAACGAAATTCTCATATTTTACGTTTAAACGTTTGAAATCAATTTTATAGATGTCTGAAAGTATGCTACAAAAAAAAGGATGCACTAAAATCTAAATATATGGTTATATCACTATACTATTAAAATTTAATTTGTTGCTTTTATTTAAATGGTTTGTAATATATTAGAACGACTGTGGTGTCAAGCGAGGTAGATGGCCTTCGATAGGCGGTCATAGCAGCAACAGTTGGCTTTGGGTGGGGGTCACTCCCTCCTCCCTTTTCGGATGCATATGCATTTCCGAGAAATGGATTATGAATTGTTCATGAGTCGCGGGACATCGGTGGAGTGGGTGGAGCGCAGCAGTACTTTAATATGGAAGCCAGCTTAATCTTTAATCGAAACTTTTGACTTTGAGCAATGGCAGAGCGCATTTGACATTCTCATTAATTTCACAGCAGACAGGCAGCGAGGAGCGGGAATCGCTCCCTAGTTTTACGGCCCGGACAGTTGGTTACGTGGCTGTGTCATCCTGCAGTAAATTGTTTTTCCCTGCTCCTGTCGTAAACAGGGGCATTAAAAACTTGACTTGACTTGCCCTGACTTGCTCATCCCAGTTGGACTCGATACCTGGGCCATATATTCGTCCAATGCCGTATAAAAATAGTAGATTGACCCAGTTGCTAAATCAAGTCACTAGCATCGTAGCATCCTGCTGCCAGGACCAGAAATTGAATCCAAACCAGATGTTCTGACATGTCAGCGGCAGAAGCGAAACAAGTGCGTCCTGTTAGCATTGCAATTGACGCCAGCAAGGTCACTTCTTATCCCGGGCTTAGCCTCCCTCCCCTTTTCTGGATAATGGTTACGATATTTAAATGTCCTTTTCCACCACACCCCACTCTCCTACGGGCAGCTCCCCCTGATTAAAACGCTATCCACTTTCTGGCCATCAGCATAAAAAATACACTGAGGGAAGCCACCTTATTAAGTCTAAACAGCAATGAAAAGTTAGTGGTTTAGGATATACTATCATAAGGCATTAAAAATGATTTAGGTAACAACATATATTACTTGTGATCTTGAAATTTTTTTAAATGCAAATGTCTTATAAATGTTTTTAAAAGTATGCAGTGGATGTAGCAATTATCTATTAGAAATATATTGAAATATATTAGACACCTTTAAAAGTGATTTTTAAAGCTTGATTATTTCTATGGCATCCTCCATTGCAATTGAGACATGAGAGTATATTTGAATTTAAGTTTAATTATATACATTTCCTAGGGCCATTTATCCCACATGTTAAATTTAGAGTATTGTTAAAACTTTGAAAATTTATGGAAACTCAGAGTTTAATGCCTACTTTTTTGGGCTTTATCGTTTTCTTTTCAATTTCGATGTCAAATTTTTTTCTCTCTGCACCAAAGTCAAATTGCTGGTCATAAAATCAGTCGGAAAGTGAGCTCTTTGCCATTATCGAGAAGCGTTTGCCGCCGCGCGAAATGAATATTTTAGCTGCGTTTTTTACGCTCAAGTGCTCGTCGAAGTGCTTTGTGGATTTTTGGGGGCACTGGGTGCGGCACAATTACACAAATTGGATATTAATTGGCTGCTCCTGCTCCTGCTCCCGATCCCGCCGACACTCGGACCGCAATTAGTGGACATCGAAGGGCGCACAGGTAAACAAATGTGAGCTTCGGGGGATGAGATGAATTGATAAGGGGGGTCCTCCGTGTCCTTCGCCCCGGGATATCGATATCGAGGTGGAGGTGCCTTCGAGGCGATGATGGAATGCCTGGCCGGGAACATGGCATCATCGCCATAAGGACAGATATGGCTGGTATGGCACAGGAAAACTGATACCTAATTGAGCAAACAGCTTGGGGCTTCAACTCGCATTGGGTGGGTCAGTCGTTGCTTGTTTTTCCCCCATTATTCGCATTTTTCCTTTGTGTCCTCCTGGCCGTTACGAAAAATCGAAAACACAGGCGACTAGGCGACTTCGCAGCCTTGGAGCGTCGAAAAGCAAAGGATAAGGAAGTCTCACCTGAAGGGGGGATTCACAGGCGGATCAGATGGGGATTAGGTGGCGACCTAATCGAGGACTTCTGGTTATTCCCGATTTCTTTGCAGCTCAGACGACTATCACCTAGCCTCATTGCGCGTCGAGATAAATACGGCTTAGGTTTTGTTTTCGCACTCACAATAATCCACTGGGCCTTCTGATTGCCACAGACTGCGAAAAGCTGGCCGAAGGACCAAGCTTTTATTGTCCTTTCGGAGCTTTATTTGGGAGAACTGGGAGCACGCAGCTTGCGAAAGTCCTGCGCCTGCGCTCGAACCCCTTCCGGCATTTGGCCTCCATTGTTTTGCTTCGCACTCACCATCCTCGCATCCTCTGCTTTGGCCCCAAATTCGCGTGAAAGCCCACCGATGATGCGTTTCACACCCTGTTCCTAGATACCGCCGCAAAAATACCGAATAGGGGTTGGTAGACCGATTTCATAGAAGTACTGATGAATGATCAACGGCCCAAAACGCTAAGATCTAGCGCCCACATTTTACCGCCCATCGGTCATTAATACTTTTTTACATCAATTCTCAATCCATCAAAGTTCCAATTGCATAATGTTTATCGGTGAGATCCTACAAATATGTAACATTACCTGAAATTGGATGTGGGTTGCGACCATATCTTTTTAGATTAGTGGAAATCTAATTTCCAGAATGGCCTTTAATATGCGCATTTATAACATGGTATATTGGTAGAGCGCCCTAATTTGATTTAAGAAGGTTATAAAATGGTTAGGCAAAGGATGAAGATCTACTTACTATCAAGACGGAGAGGCCAAAGAACACTAGACTTAACATATTTCGTTTCATTTTAGATTTATCTTTACCACTGTTCTATGGAGGGAATACTCTAACCTATTTATACACATTTCCAGGAGATTCTGAGCTCGTGGGCTTGTATAATTTAAGTTACTTTAGCTCAAAAGAATTAATTATATAACCATACAGCGGCTTTTAAAATCATGGAAATGCATAAATTGAGTAAGTGAATAAATTTCTGAGCACCTAATTAAAAATAACACTATGCAGCATCAAAAATTTACCTCGATTGGTGCTATACTTTTGGATTCGTTACGAATTCCCAAGTAAAACTGCGTTTTCCCAAAAGTTCCCCGACGCAAGGATTCTTAGCAAAAGGACCTTAAAGTTCGAAAAATGCTGAAATTGGCCAACTTTGCGGAGCTCTCAGAGGCAAATAATATCTAACATTTTACCGCCCTTTAGTATTCATCGGAATGGGTACAAATTAATGGAATCGCCGCTAGGTGGCGCGCATTCAAACAGTCACATTGGTGCTGCTATATTTCCGTCTGCCTCGCACTAACTTTAGCTGATTAACAGGTAACTAATCGTCGCCCTTGTTTTATTATTCATACACTTAAGTTTGAAATGGAAATGTAAATCATTTTCAAAATACATAAGTCAAAATGTAATAATTATTTTTTCTTCGGTTTTCCCTTTGTGAGTGCTTGAGTGTTTCCTATCTGCACAAGTACAACTTGTAATTTAACTCCACCGCCAGGTGTTCCGTCTTCATTAAAGAGTGAGAAAGTAACATTGTAGATGCCAGCAGGAACATCCAGTTTCCAACTATTAATGTCGAAAAAGAGATCCTTGACCCAGTAAGTACCTTTTTGATAGGGGCACACCTTTCCATTCTTAAAGTTGAAGTTGGTGTTTTCACCCGTCTTGAAATTGGATTTGATAAAGGGATCGTAAAACTTTTCGGTACCATTGCAGATAGTATTATTTCTCAATCCAGGATAGTCCACCACGCCAGGTTTTTGCCCGTCAACCCTTACGATATCCACCGTAACATAATGTTTATCGGTGAGATCCTTCAAAAATGTAATATTACCTGAAATTGGACGTGGGTTGCGACCATATGCTTTTAGTTTAGTGGAAATCAAATTTCCAGGATGGGCTTCAATGAGCGAATTTATAACATCGTCGTATATCGGTAGAGAGCCCTAATATGATTAAAGAGAGTTATATGATGGATAGACAAAGGATGTAGATCTACTTACTATCGAGACGGAGAGGCCAAGGAACACTAGGCTCAACAGATTTCGTTTCATTTCGGATTTACCTTGTTTACTGTTCTATAAAGGGAATACACCAGCCTATTTATACCCCTTCCAGAAGATTTTGAACTCGTGAGCTTGTATAATTTAAGTTACTTTATCTCAAAAGAATTAATTATATACCCATCAGCGGCTTTTAAAATCATGGGAATGCATAATAATATATCAAATTGAGTACGTGAATAAATTTCTGAGCACTTAATTTAAAATAATTTATATGTACTATTTAGACCCTTCTCATGGGTATTCACTAGCGCCATCTAGGAAATGGCATTGGAAAAAATCTGCCTTTTTTTCTGTGGCCACTCTAATTCACATTATGTTAGTGTAAATTCTAAATTATTTGAAATGGGGCGCGCACTTTGTCTCTTTTTGCTCCTATACGTTTTTCACAAGTGCATTCATCTGCGCTAGAGAGAGACGGAAGATGTGCTAGGCAGAATTGAAAGTTCAAGAAAGCCTCTTCTAGAAAGAGATCCCTGGGTAAAAATTGAGCGGCGAAAATCATATAAAAAGGCATATTTCTATTAAGTTGTTTAGCTGAGTAACGGGTATCTAATAGTCGAGGCACTCGACTATTGCGTTCTCTCTTGTTTGTTTTTGCTTTGGGTGTGTGTCCTTGCTAATTGTGTGTATTTTGTTGTTGTTGAATAACTATTTACTTAGTAGAATTGACAATTTTGCTGGTTGGGGCCTGTTTGACAATTATTACAGTTGATTTTACCAAGTTTTTTTTTTGTGTGTAGGTACAGTACCATATCATAGGCGCAATTTATATCAACTGCTTTTGAAAAAAACTTTGTGCAGTGCAAAAGCTTTTAACGTACACTTTTTTAAATTTTGGTTACTTATTGAAAATGGTTTTTATTAGTCTTGGATCATTATAAAAATTATTTAATTAAATATTTACATTTTGCATTCTTCCTCTAGGTGTGTAATAATTGTAATAAAAAGGATGTATATTTATTTCTCCCTAAGCTTAACTTTGAGTTCAAGTTTACCACCAGGTGAACCGTCTTGGTTGAGGACCGTAATTTTAATATTGTAGGATCCAGCAAGCACCAACCAACTAGATTTCCACTTATTAATATCGATCGTGATGTCCTTGAACCAGTAAGTACCTTTTGGCAAGGGGCACACCTTTCCATTCTTAAAGTCCAAATTAGTGTTTTTTCCCTTTTTAAGCGTGGTTTTGATATAAGGATCGTACGATTTCTTGATAGCGGTGCAGATGGTCTCATCTATGAACCCCTTAAAGTTTAGAGCTAGTCCGCTGGTCTTTTTGACATCCACCAACACGCGATGTTTATCAGTAAGATCCTTCAGGAATGTAATATTACCTGAAATTGGCTTGGGGGCTCGACCATATGAGTTTAGATTGGTGGAAATCAAATTTCCAGGATGGTTTTTAACAGATACATTTTCAACAATATCGAATGCAGCGTCCTAATTTGATTGGAGAATAATATATATTTGTTAAGAGAACAGTCTGTTGATTTACCTACTATTAAGACGGCGAGACAAACAAGCGTTAGGCCTAACAGATTTCGTCTCATTTTGGGCTTAATTTGTTTAACTACTAAACTTTTCTACACAGGGTTACTTATATACCATTCCAGCTAATTGTAAGCTCGTGGTCTTGAATAAAATAAAGTTTTCCAGTTCTGCTTAAAAAGTTTAAAATGTATACTCATGGAAGTGCATAATAAAACAAGAGAGAACGCTATAGTCGGGTGTCCCGAATATCAGATAATGGGAGTGCGAGGGAGATGGAGATATAAAACTTTGATCGGGCATAACTTTTTAACGAATGGCCCGATTTGAAAAATTTTTTCTACATTTCGATAGGTATAAATAAGTAGTACACCATCATCGAAATTTGGGAGGATCTGCCCATTCGGCACATTGGCGAGGATGAAGATGCTCTGGAGAACGAAGAGGAAGGGGAGCGTTTTAGGCAGAACATTAAGATCCTGATCATAGTGCTGCATCCAAAGTACAGCTCAGTTCAGTGCGGGATATTTGCCCGGAGGCAGGGATACCTTTTTGGGGGACTCCGGTGGTCCACTCCATGCCATCCCCCCGAATACAACTGCGTGGCCTTAGTTGGCAAATTCTGTGCGGTTCCCAATGCCCCGGGGTGTACAGCAGGCTGTACAGCTACCTGGATTGAACGATCATATGATACCTTTAGTAATTTATTAAAGATTCACTTAACAAGATACAAAATATTTTATTTATTTTACAAATATTTGCCAATGCTTCATTAAAAAACTATCTTTTAACATATTGTTACCAGGCAAGAATTCAATAATTTGTGCTATTATAAAATACTCGAAATGTTTTATATATGTAATCTATGTATTGTATATTATGTATATTCCTGTGAGAAGGTTCATGGCCACACCTGCTGCTCTATCCACTGAATGTAGTGGTCTATTCTCACATACACACCGGGTTGTCCAGAGTCACAGGATCCTCCGAATGAGGTTAGGCCCACTACATAGGGAATCCTTTGATGCCGTATTTGTTGGTGTAGCAACAGAGGTCCTCCAGAATCTCCCTAAAACATAAATCGTTGTTAGTTAACAGCAAATATTTCTATGAAAATTCTAAAAAAAGATGACTTAACATTGGGAAAATATCAAAACATTTATTAGTAACTATTTACAAAATATTTAAAATATCTAATACTTTTTTAACTTTTGTTTCTAACTCACCTTACAAGTGTCTATATTACCGGAGTCGTCCCCCGCGCATAGTTGTCCCGATTCCTGGTCATTTACAGATCTGCCACGATTTCTAAAATATGGCATATTCTGGCATCGCTTCATATTCAAGTGGTGAAGCTTTATTTGCTGCAGATTGTTGGTCGGTGGGCCATCTGTTAAATATTTGTTTAAATATTTTATTAAATGAAAGGGTTAACTTTCTTGGAATTCTAACCGCGCTTTGTTCGCCCATAGCCCAGAGCAGTCAGCGGGGTTTTGGGCAGGAATTCCTGGTTCCACAGGCAGGCCACTTGATGGTAGGATCTCTTGGCCAATTTGATCACCGCTAAATCGTTGAAATCGGTCACCTCATCGTAGTGCGGGTGCTTGGTTATCTGTTGGATTTTAATGAGTTCCCCGCGACCACTGTTCAACTCAAGGCCACCAATCAACGCCACGGACGGAGGTATCCTGTTCGTTTGGAAGAAACAATCCCGTTAGCATTTCGAGTATTTTCTGTATTTTTGCTGCTCACCCCTTGGGGTTGGCACAGTGGGCGGCCGTTATGGCGAACCACGGCGAAATCAGGACACAGCCACAGTAAAAATTATATCTCCGCTTGCTGGAATCCGCTGGCTGGGATCTATTTGTGCGGGATAGCCTACCGAGAGCACACTGTCAAATAAACGAATAAAAGTAAATTACAAAGCTATTCAAATAAAACATATTAGGAAAACATTAAGATTATTTTGAAAACAATAATATTTATTTTTAGTAGGAACTTGGACTTTTTGCACATTTAATCAGATATAAAATTTGAATGTACCTTAAAGAGTAAAGTAATACTACGAAAATGATATTTGTCATCACTTTTTAAAATATATATTCCATAGTTTCCCTTATATTTTTATTGTCTTACCATATAAGGATGCTCGTTGTCCGGAGTTGGTCTACCACCCATGATGTAAAGGCTACTTTGATTGTGCTTCTGGATAATTGGCTCAATTGGTTCCACTTGTTCTTGATTATGGTTAGTACTTCGACGGCGTCGTCGGCGCTTATGATGAGCTCTTGGATAGGCAATCGAACAGGCTTCTTCGCTTTTTGAAACCCTGGGGGCCGGAATCACGTAGCCGCCATGTGGACAACACACCAGTTGATTTGGCCACACCGATGGGCAGAGTAGGGGCGTCACTTGGGGCACAGATTGCATGGCACTAATGCAATCCACATACCTCACACATCTTCCGACCAAAGGACCAGCCAAAGGATCGAAGGCCTGGCAATTTCCGTAATTATCAATCGAAAGATACGTAGGAACTACTCCATCCCACGGCGAACTCTGTGCATATCCATTGTAGTAGTAGTTTTGTGGACTGGCCCACAAAAATGACGATGCTGAAATCAACACAATCTCAAAAAGCAAGCAATTTAGCGACCTCATCGCTGATGTCTTCACTCCACAGCGTACGAGTGCCGAATAAAATGCTTGCGAATCTGAAACGTCTTTTATTCAATTCTTCTAATTTTTGGTTAATAGTTCCTGCGGAAATCGAAATTAAGCAGCACTTTTTTATTAATAGCAAAGATGAGGTTAAATGGCGAGTGATTCATAATTCTTTTATTCTATTCTCTATGCTAGTCTATTATTGCCTTTTTGTATTTTAGTTGTATTGAATTAGTGGACCCAATTACAGTTCCGGTGGAACACCCAAAGCCCTGCACACTGGGCCAGCCGATCAGATTTTTGGCCAAAAATACGTTTTTCTTTTTTAAGAAAATGACCAAATTGAGTTTGGGATCCTTTTTATAATACATTAAACTAATTTATGACAAAGTTTCAAAGAATTCGGGCAAGCAGTTTTCTTTTACCATATTTTCAAAGTGAAAAATTCATAAAATATTGATGGAAATGAAAAAAAATTTAGAAGTCAATGATGCTGATGTTGCTGTTCGACTTCTTTCCGAAACTTGCAGAAGGGATTATTTTCAACAAGTAAAAAATATAATATAGCTCGTATGTCTTACTTGTTTGCTAAAATAAATGTAATTGTTAATTTTTACGCTTTTTTTCAGCAAATGAGTACTTTGCTTTTCGAGTGCCTTCGAGTGCCATCCCCAAATTAGTTCATTCCTTCAAAAAAAAATTCGTTGATCAATTTACTAAAAGCGTAGCCCACCGACTCGATGCGGTTTTGCCTTAGTTTTCGGTAATTTAAGTTTTAATTGAAGGCTTAACTCGAAGTCGAGCTATTTTGAAGAGCTTAGCTAAGAGAGCCCAAGAGTATGCCATACTTTATTTCTTCAGGTTTTGGTGAACATTTTGCGCTTAAAAATTTGATTTTAGTGTGACTAACATCTAAAATCTACTTTTTACGTACACTAATCGATTATGGTATTTTCCAAACCTATATCTATCTATTTAATCAGGACTATGCAAATAAAAATGTAGCATACTTTTGTGATGACTTCAGAATATGTCAAATTAACATTAAACAAATCAAAGAACAATATTTTTAAACAATTTTTTTTACATAATTTGATTATATAAAACTTAAAAGGTAACAAGAACAAAAAAATAGAAATTTTTTTTAAATCGATTGTTTGATAAACGTTGAAAGTTAATTTTTTGGCCAAAAATCTGTAATTTCTTTCCTAGGACAGTTAGAAGGATGCAGTTTTTTGCGTTTTTTTCTTAAAAGATTGAACTTTTCAACGAACTAAAAGTAAAATTTTTTGGAATTTTATATGATATAGATAATCCAGACCAAAGTCGGAAAATTTTACGTACTTTTCGGTTTTTATTTTTAAAAAAATAACTAGAAGACGCACTTCTTCCATTTTCGAAAACAATAAAGTATGAGATAAAACAAACTAAAAAAAATTAACATCACTAAAAAATATTATGTCATTTAAGATTTATGAACCGTTAAAAAGTGCAACTTTCGGAGGCTCCCACATCAACGTTTATCAAACAATCGATTTAAAAAAAATTTCTATTTTTTTGTTCTTGTTACCTTTTAAGTTTTATATAATCAAATTATGTAAAAAAAATTGTTTAAAAATATTGTTCTTTGATTTGTTTAATGTTAATTTGACATATTCTGAAGTCATCACAAAAGTATGCTACATTTTTATTTGCATAGTCCTGATTAAATAGATAGATATAGGTTTGGAAAATACCATAATCGATTAGTGTACGTAAAAAGTAGATTTTAGATGTTAGTCACACTAAAATCAAATTTTTGAGCGCAAAATGTTCACCAAAACCTGAAGAAATAAAGTATGGCATACTCTTGGGCTCTCTTAGCTAAGCTCTTCAAAATAGCTCGACTTCGAGTTAAGCCTTCAATTAAAACTTAAATTACCGAAAACTAAGGCAAAACCGCATCGAGTCGGTGGGCTACGCTTTTAGTAAATTGATCAACGAATTTTTTTTTGAAGGAATGAACTAATTTGGGGATGGCACTCGAAGGCACTCGAAAAGCAAAGTACTCATTTGCTGAAAAAAAGCGTAAAAATTAACAATTACATTTATTTTAGCAAACAAGTAAGACATACGAGCTATATTATATTTTTTACTTGTTGAAAATAATCCCTTCTGCAAGTTTCGGAAAGAAGTCGAACAGCAACATCAGCATCATTGACTTCTAAATTTTTTTTCATTTCCATCAATATTTTATGAATTTTTCACTTTGAAAATATGGTAAAAGAAAACTGCTTGCCCGAATTCTTTGAAACTTTGTCATAAATTAGTTTAATGTATTATAAAAAGGATCCCAAACTCAATTTGGTCATTTTCTTAAAAAAGAAAAACGTATTTTTGGCCAAAAATCTGATCGGCTGGCCCAGTGTGCACTGTAAAATATTATTTTAATCGAATTTTCTCTTCCACATTTTGTACCGTCACCTTTTCGCAGAGAAATAGCCTAAATGATTAACTTATTATTCTTTTCAAATTAATTTATTTTCAATCTGGAAATATACTTTTATTTTTCTTCCAATAAAGTAATAAAGTGCATTATTACCTAAACTATTTAAGTCAATTAGTAATTAAATAATTTTAGTTAAAATATCTTAATATGACAATTTTTTTGAATGTGTAATACAACTTTAAAAAATGACTATATCTCTTTAAGGTGTATTTGGAATGCAATTTTACCGCCAGGTTTACCGTTTTCATTGAAGATCGTAAAATTAACGTAGTAGGAACCAGGAGTCCACCAATACGTCTTCCACTTATTAACGTCGTACACGATGTTCTTGACCCAGTAAGTACCTTTTTTAAGGGGGCACATTTTCCCCTTCTTAAAGTTCAGATTGGTGTTTTTGCCCGTCCTAAGCGTAGTTTTGAGATAAGGATTATAGAATAGCTTGATAGCTTTGCAGATGGTCCGATTTATTAGTCCCGGAAAATCCACCATTTGTCCATTTTCAATCCTTTTGATATCCACCGACATCCGATGTTTGTCGGTAAGATCCTTTAGAAAGGTAATATTACCTGAAATTGGTCTTGGGATGCGACCATGATATTTTAAATTTGTGGAAAACAAATTTCCAGGATGGTTTTCAAGATCCACATTTTCAACAATATCGAATACAGCGTCCTAATTTGGTTTTAGAATGTTAGATAATTCCTAGAAATTCTTTAGATCTACTTACTATAAGGACAGCGAAGCAAACGAACATTAAACATACGAGATTTCGTCTCATTTTGGTTTTACTATTAAACTGTTCTATACATGACTCGAATAGGCTTACTTATATAGCCTTCCAGATGATTTCCGATTGAAGTTCGTGGTCTTGAATAATATTCATACAAAGGTAATGTAAACCCATAAAATATAAAATCTACTAAAGTCGTGGGAATGCATAATAAAACCAATGTTCTGGTAGGACGTTTGTTTTGAACCCTTGTCAGTTCAAAGAACCGTCTTGGATCTACTATTCCATTGCAATACCGAGTTCTAGATCTATAATTTAAATACTATTCATTTATCGAGTTTTATTTAACTAGGATTTGATTCTTTTTGGATTTCAGCAGCAGGCGTGGATCATTTTTGTAGCGCACAAATATTTCGCTTTTGAATACATCGAACTTCCTGCGATTGGCATTGTTCTGCTGCTCTCGCCAAGCAGGTCTCGCCTGCTTTCTTTGCAAGCCCCAATGGCCGGTGAAAACGGGAGAAAGGACGTAGAACTGATAGCCAGCTATATGCATCTCATAGACCTGCAGGTAAATTGTGGGTTAATAGAAAGTAAGTAACTGGATATGAGTTCAACTCACTTGGGAGTTCCTCGTAAAGCCGTAGCCCAGAAATCGTTCGTCATGTGCTGGTGCATTATCCACAGCTATATAGAATGGTTCATAGAGGAACTCGAAATTCGTTACGATATGGCTGACAGATACCTCAGATTCATTTGTGCTTGTCGCCAGCCATCTGAAATAAAGGTATTATTACTAGGATTTAAATGTTATAATAATAAGTGGGAAGAACGTACTTGGAGAAGTTAGTTGCGTATTGGTTGTAGATAAAGACCTTCTCGTGAAACGCCCTGGCTAGTCCCTTTTTAATCAAGCGTATTAGGGCGTTCTTGGAGCGGGGAAATGTGGCTCTTACGTCGATTTCAAAAGTGGGTATTACGTAGGCACAGCTCTTGGAGCAGTTGGCTGTCCTGAAGAAGTGGTTGAGCTGGGGCACACTGTTCGTGCTGGGCACAATGTCGATGTCGGTGAGGAAGACATACTTCGTCTGGCAGCCCTTGCGCGCCAGGTTCCGCATATGGTTCTGCGGATAGGTGTTCCTCTGGCGCCACTGCAGCGTTTTCAGGGATCGAAACTTGAGCAGCGACTTGAGCGTCCTGTCCGGATATTGACAGTCGAATTTGCCCTTCATATTCAACGGAAGCGCCGCCACGCGGGGCAGCTTATCGTAGTCCCGCGGCGTGAGCAGGTGAAATGTGGCATTCTCGCGAATGTTGGCAAAGCACAGGCGCATGTAGGTGACGAAGTATTGCAGGACAACAAACTCCTCGGGTCCGGCGGCGAAAACAGCCACGGACATCTTGCCCTGCCAATTGGCAGCCACCTGGGGCAGCGAATTGAGCCGCTCCACCGAAGTCTGGGTGGCCAGGCAGACCAGACTACTGCCCTCCGAGAGATCCATGTACTGCTCGCCCAACAAGGCAAAGTCCTTGATCCTGTACAGCTGCTGATTGTCCCAGCGTCCGTAGCTCAGGTCAATGTTCTCGAAGGCTAAGGAGGCAGAGTTATTGGGAGCCACAAAGCCATCCAAATTATTCAGCGGCTGGAGCAGCGCAAAGGCTATATCCGAGTGCTAGGGACACTCGACCGCCGCAGGACTACGAGGAGTCCCCTCCAGAGGAAGCGGAGGGCATCTCTGCGGGGCATCTCCTCCTGCCGGGGGATACACCTTCAAGAGCCAAAAAATATTGACCGAGAGGATAACCAGCACTAATTTCAGCGAGCTCCAGTTTGATATGTGGCACTGGAAAAAAGGACATGGGAGTAAAAGTGCTATCCTGGCTGGCTATCTTTTATATTTACCATTATTCGAGCAGCACGAGTATCACAAAACAGTTATTTATCAGGAAAATACAACCTTAAAAAGAGTACAATTAAATAAGTTTTAATTTTTAATATATTCGTTAAAAATATCCTTGCAGTGTGAACGTGGCTTTCTTTTATGAAAATATCTAGCCGTTATAAAATACTAAAAAGTAGAGTATTTCATTTCAGTTTTTAAGCAGTATTCAATATGAAATAATTTTAAGGAGTTTCCGATTTTTTATTATTTGTGCTTTAAGTGCTTTAAAACAAATATATTTCCTAAACTAAAAGACAATTTAGCGATTAAAATGGAGATAAATGATTTTTGATGTAATAAGATTAAACTTATACAAAATCAATTTGCAGATAAAGATAAATATATATTGCAATATATATTATATTGACAGTAAAAAAACTCACTCTATTTTCAGGTAAAAGATTTTGAATCTACAGATTTATTCAATAGATGTGCAGTTCCATTTCCCATTGGTTTCGATATCCCCCCGACGAGTCGTGCAATGGGTCCCCACAGAAACGGTCACTCTTCATGCAATCTGACCGTTCAGCGGGGCAAACTTTGTTCATATCTATGTAGAGTAATGTATACATTATATACAAATATACATGTTGAAAACAGCGAGAAAATAAATCGAGAATAACATTTTAAATTAATATAAAAACAATCTAAAGAAATTCGCATTTGGAACACAAGTGGCGGACGTGATAAACCGAGAATCTCAAAGCGGAACACCAATAAAAAGAACCTTCCAATCGTGCATATAGGAAAACATCCATATGTATAAAATAACAATAATTAAGAGCCTGTGTTGTTAATTCTTTCATCCTGAAAACCTTATTCGCCGGCTGTATGTAAATGTACGTAAGATTGTTTGTGTCCAAGCCTAAGTGCACAAAATCCAGCTTGTAATTAAAAAAAATTCGGTTCCAGTTAATGTGCATGAATAATTAAATTAGTTTTCGCCGTAATTTTTGTTTTGATTCAAGCTTTCCCTTGATATTGAAAATAGAACTGTGGGAAAACCAACTTATTCCCCATTTTAAGACCAAAATTCCGGCCCGGTTACGATTTCAGTATGTACTTGGGTATATTAGTATGTAATGTGCATACATGTGTGGATTGTAAAAGGCAAATTGACAAATATTCGCGTTAAGTCTGCTGATGTAAGACCCCCGATCGTTCAGTTACTATATAGGTTACTATATATCTGAGCGCCTTCAAGTACTTGTGTATTTATGTACGGAGTTGTATATTCCATCGAGAGGCAGACACAAATTACACCTGTATGTATGTAAGTATGTAGGGGTGCTTCTGATAAGTGTCAACAGCCCAGAATTTATCCATGGCAAGTAAATAGCGATCCCTGTGAACCCATGTACCTACCAATATATGTACCATCTAAGTGCGTATCTGTACATAATGGATACCAAGAAGTAACCAGATCCAGTTTATTACAACGCCCCTGTCCTCGAAGATTTGTTAATTGGTTTTGTGACCTCTGTTAGCGATGAGATAAGTCGGGTTTCTATTGCTCATCTGTTGTATTAGTAGTTATCATCCATTTCTTGAGGAAAGCATAGGCTAAGCCTCAGTATTTCTATCTGCTAAAGTTCCCCCAAAAGTAATGAGTCAAAATAAACAGAATTCTTATCAAAAGTTTTTAAGACAAGATCTAGTAGCCCCTTGAATCAAAAAATTACAAGTAATTATGAGTAATTCCAATCTAAACTATAGTTTACAATACTGTAATAATACGAAAGAAATGGTCTGAAACAATTTAATTAGAAGAAAATTAAATAACACCATATTAATTATCCTATCTCCCCCACAGGGATAATTCAGAAGGAAATATGGAAGAGTCAAACCCCAATTACGATGTTAACCAAAGACTACAGAAGCCGGAGGGTTGGCCCAATGTCAATGAGTTTCATCCCTCGATGATGTTTCCGGAGGATCCCAGGCGGTACTTCCAGAACGCCCCCACAGAGCCACCACCACCACAGCCACAGCTACAGCCTCCCATCCCGATACCCATACCCATACCGATACCCATCGATGGAGCCGCCGAAATACCCGCTAAAATGCCAGATTACTGCCCCGAGATTAGCCATCCCATGGAGCCCGATCGGGTGATAAATCCCCTGGCCGAGTTGGCCAAGAGCACAGTACCTTATGGCCACAAGCGAAAGAACTCGGCGGCCGAGGACCAGGCGGCCAACAAGAAGATCAGCCTGGCGGCGGCTGCCGAGGAGAAGAAGAACAGCCACCTGAGGAAGAACATCCGCGATGTGATGAACGAGAACAATCTGGACACAACCACGCTGGCGGCGCAGCGTGAGGAATCGGAACGCTTGGCTCGCGTTGCTGGTCAACAGAAGTCAATGCGCGAGATCCAGAAGCAGGTGGTGCACAAGCAGTTCTTCCGCATCCTCCAGCTGGATGAGAGCGAGGGCATCGAGAGCTGTGCGGTGGCCAATCCCGTCGAGCATCATCATCATCCGCTGCCGCCCGTCGACTTCCCGGCGGAGGAGGACATCGCCTCGGACACGTTTGACGAGTCGAACAGCAGCAGCCTGAGCGGCGGCAGCATCGAGGATGTGCTGCACAAGGAGGCCATTGTGCAGCAGCCCAGCGAGGTGGTCACCATCGACGACAGCTCCGACGACGATTGCATCCTGCTCTCCGAGGAGGAGGAGGAGGAGGACGACGAGGACCTGAACGAATCGGACGACGCCACCAACAGCGGGATGCATGTCAAGGATCTGTACAATGTGCCCGACGAGAACGGACAGGTGGTGGTCAACATGGCGCATCCGGAGGGCGAGGAGACTCTGTATTTGGCCCCGCAGATAGCCAAGGTGATAAAGCCGCACCAGATCGGCGGCGTGCGCTTTCTGTACGACAACATCATCGAGTCCACACGGAGGTTCAACAAATCGAGCGGCTTCGGCTGCATTCTGGCCCACTCCATGGGTCTGGGCAAGACGCTGCAGGTTGTTTCCTTCTGTGATATCTTCCTGAGACACACCTCGGCGAAGACGGTGTTGTGTGTGATGCCCATCAACACGCTGCAGAATTGGCTGAGCGAGTTTAATATGTGGGTGCCGCGCTACTCCGCTGACAGCAATGTGAGGGCCCGGAACTTTGACATCTACGTGCTGAACGACCAGCAGAAGACGCTGACGGCCCGCGCCAAGGTGATTCTCAACTGGGTGCACGATGGCGGAGTGCTTCTGATTGGCTATGAACTGTTCCGACTGCTGGCTCTCAAGCTGGTGAAGACGCGCAAGCGAAAGGGCAGCGTCATCCGGCCCGATGGCATGGACTCTAGCAGCGATCTCATGAACCTGGTGTACGAGGCCCTGGTGAAGCCAGGCCCGGATTTGGTGATCTGCGACGAGGGGCACCGCATCAAGAACTCGCACGCCGGCATTTCTCTGGCCCTCAAGCAGATCAGGACGCGGCGACGCATTGTGCTTACGGGCTATCCATTGCAGAACAACCTGCTTGAGTACTGGTGCATGGTGGACTTTGTGCGACCCAACTATTTGGGCACCCGAACGGAGTTCTGCAACATGTTCGAGCGGCCCATCCAGAATGGTCAGTGCGTGGACTCCACGCCGGATGACATCAAACTGATGCGGTACAGAGCGCATGTGTTGCACTCGCTGCTGCTGGGATTCGTCCAGCGGCGATCGCACACGGTGCTTCAACTCACGCTGCCGCATAAGTACGAATATGTCATCCTGGCCAAGATGACCACCTTTCAGAGGAAGCTCTACGACACCTTTATGACCGATGTGGTGCGCACCAAGGCGTTTCCCAATCCGCTAAAGGCATTCGCCGTCTGCTGCAAAATCTGGAACCATCCGGATGTTCTGTATAATTTTCTGAAAAAATGTGAGACTGATTTAGATTTAGAAATCGACGAGGAGGTTTCGAAGGGCGCTCCCACCCCAATCGTTGAGCCCAGTCCAGATTCTGCCTTGAGTGTGGCTTCTCCGCTCGAGAGGAAGAGCAATGGATCCGGGGAACCGGTCAATAGTATCCAGGCATTACCCAAAACCGAAAATTCAACTCTATTTAATATCCCCGCATCATCGGATTTGAACGCTAAATATTTAAATAAAAGGTATGGTATCAAGTAGGATATTTATATTCATGTTACTAAATATATACTATTTGCAGCCCCAGTTTTTATGACGAAAAACCAGAGCCTCTTAACTATGGAAGTTTCGGAAGTGAGGGTAAAAACAACTACTGGATGGATTCCAGTATTCTTCCCAAGCCGGGATGCGTTGAAGTAATCAAACAAACCGATACGAACATGTCGAGCAACTTTGAAAGTATTACGGGGTCTTCGGAAATCGTGGATCTGGACACGAATGAAATAAAAACCGTCGAAACGACAATACAAGCGCCGTGTTCAAACAATCAAGTAGATAATGAGTGCAATTCAAGCAAACCAAGTGAATGGAATGCCACGGGCATTAAAAACGCTAGTGGAGTGGTCGCCGAGCCGTTTAAAAAGTTGCTGAAGAGTAAGCGAAACGATGAATTTTCGTGTTCGTGGGCCGTTGACATAATGAAGAATTATGTGTCGGGCCTAATATCGAATTCGCCGAAAATGGAGATATTCTTCTGCATCTTGAAGGAGAGCCTGCATTTAGGAGATCGTATTCTGTTATTTAGCCAAAGCCTATTAACCCTAAACTTACTCGAAGTCTATCTAAAGTCTAGTTATGTTCCTGGTAGTAATCAACTTTGGTCTAAAAATAGCTCGTATTTTCGTAAGTTTTCACATCATTCGCATTGTATCGCTTTGTAACCATATACATTTTGTTTCAGGATTGGATGGTTCTACGTCCTCGCAGGAAAGGGAAAGGCTAGTCAATGAATTTAATGCAAATAGTAATGTTAAGCTTTTTTTAATATCAACAAGAGCCGGCTCGTTGGGAATAAACCTCACCGGAGCGAACCGCGTTATAATATTCGATGCCAGTTGGAATCCCTGTCACGATACACAGGCTGTATATAGGATTTATAGGTGAGATATTACTAAGTTAGTTTTGTCATGACGGTATACATTTTATTTGACTGATTAATTTCCAGATATGGTCAAACAAAGCCTTGCTTTGTGTACAGAATTGTAATGGATAAATGTCTGGAGAAGAAGATATACGATCGGCAAATCAAGAAGCAAGGGATGTCCGATAGGATCGTCGATGAATGCAATCCTGAGGCACATCTTTCGATGAAGGATATTACCAACCTGTGTCACGACTATGACTCCGATGATGAAACTGCCGAGGAGGCAAAAAAAGCTGTAGACGATTTGAGTAAACCAAGCTCGCCTTCCGAGGAGGGCAGTAAGTTAACCAGTGAGCAAATAAAGAAAGAAGACGACTCCAATATGACGCCAGATGAGCCAAATAAATCAAACGATGAGCCGAAGAAACCTCTAGACGACCAAACTGAGTCTAGTTCACTGAACGGCGCCACTCCCTCACCAGTTAAGAAGGAAAAGGATGAGGGCCCCGAAACTATTGTTCATGCCGACTCAATTATAAACACTATTCTCGAACTACATAGACATTGTGTGACAAAGGAACCGTTCTTGCACGAAAGTCTGTTGGTCGATCAAAAGGACAGAAAGCTTTCGCAAGCGGAGAAAAGACAAGCTCATCGAAGCTACGAGCTGGAAAAGAAAGCGGCCGTCAATCAGAGATGTACTTATGCACCTGCCAAAATGCATTACAAGATCGTTAACAACGATGGAACTGTAATTACCAAACCAATGAATCAGGTTAGTTAGTTGGATAACAATGTAATCCAATTGCTTACATTTAAAATTTTACAATCCATAGCAAACTAAAACCCACACATCGTCATCAACTGGAGGACGATCCACTCGTTGGATTCCGGCTGACGTGTGGCAACGGCAGGGGATGACTGCCCAAGAAATGACCTTACCACTTGGTAAATCATTCAAATCATTCAACAATTCCACTCAGTTTCTAAATCACATGTATTTCAGATGTTGTCATTCCCACAAATTCGGCCGACAAGGCCAATATAATTCTAAAGGCTGGTCAACGAGTGATGGTTCTTAAGTCGACGAAGGGAATATACATGCAGTTGGATAGCGGGAAGATCATAGCTATAAGGACTACGGCAAAAACTGAACCAGAAAAGACAAATAAGGACGATGTAATTGATATAACTTCCGATTGTGACACCGATACAGCAAAGCCGCAAACTCCAGAAGATGGTAAATATTTTGATTTTAAAACATATTATATGAAGTTAAGCGATTGCTTTTCAGATGTAAAAGACCTGACTGCTGATGACGAGCCACATGTAGTGAAAAACAAGGAATGCACTCCAGCAACCACTAGCCGGCCAGAAATGTCTACGAAGGATAGAAAGTCCGCGGAGAACATGCAACATTTTAAACCGCAAACGCAACCAAATAATACTTTAGCCACCCCATCAAATCAGCATCAGATGCCTTGTGACTTAAACTATCCACAACAGTCGCAGCCGCAGCAGTCGCATCAACAGCCGCAACAGCAGCAGCAGCAGCCACCGCAACAGCAACCGCCGCAGCAGGCACCTCCGCAGGCGGCGTACAAACATCCGAATCACCTGCCGCCGCCAGCAGCTGGCGATGGTTACAACAATGCCAATAGTATTCAGCCCAATGCGCCGCTACCACCACCACCGCATCCGGGAGCTCCGAACAGCGAGGCGGCGCCGTCGGCGGATAGTTCGTACTTCCAGGGCAAGCCCTTCCAGCACACATATCCCCCGCAGTACTACGATTACTATGACAATAAGCACAAGGCCGCACCACCCGCTTCCAGCTATCACATCAATAACTACACCTCATATGGCAATCTGAACTTCGCACCCTACCATTCCAACCTCCATCCACCAGCGTCTTACATCGGTGCTCCGTCGTCGTACGTAAACTCGAATGTTTTCCCCCGGCAGCATTGGAGTTCAGTTGTAAATTCACCAGCGTCAAGCGAGTCTATTCGACAGCCATCGTACATTGGTAGTACTTACCCCATTAACGAATGGTCGTCGCAATAGCGAGTGTAAATAGACTATGGTCCAATATCTCCGGGTCCAGTTCAGGGCGAGCTCAAATATACTCAGACTATCTTGTAACTGATAATTTTATAGTTTCGATTCGCGTTGCTTTACTGTATAGAAGATTATTCGACAAAAGTGTTTTATAATTGTTTCCTTTTACATTTTATAATGTACTCAAAGAGCGTAGAGTAAACTGTTTAAGCAAATCATTATCATTATATTAGACAATTAATAAGATCATATAAGTGATCAATAAACCGCACACAATGCTTCCTATACTTATTAAATTTCCATTTTACCCATGATAATGTTTTTGTGGTCTGCAAATCTAAATATCTTGCATGCAGTAATTATTTACTTTGTCGTTTAGGCGTTTCCTTGACTGGACCAACAGAGCTCGGCCTTTATTCCTTACCATTATTTTCCTCTAATTTATTTATTATCTTATCATAGTGAATTCTTTTTAAACGCATAAATACGATAAGTTATTAGTTTTCATTCTGAAAAAAACAAAAGAAATCTAAACAAATATTCATAGCTCGTAACATACTGTTTAAGCAATCGTTCTACCCAATTGTATTTAATTTAGATGCCCATGAATAGAAAAACTCATACGGAATAACATTCGAAAATTGGTCTCTCTTTTGGCTAAGGGCAGCAATGCCCCGAGAAAGGAAACTAAAAAAACATTGACATTAGTCTAGATAATAGCACATTCGAAATAATAAACAAGCTTTGATTGAACAATGTTAGATCTAAGCAATAAAGAAAAAGTATTAAACAAACAGAAATAAACTCATGAGTTATTCTTTCTGTTGTAATTAAAAAACCATCTGATTGAATTGTTAAATTGACGTAATATATATTTATTTACAGCACACATTTATATACAATCATACTCAATACAATAACATATAAAATGTGCGCATCTATTATCTGCGAATAGAACCGTTGAGAGGTAAGTAGGGGGAATACGTGGGATACATCGGATTGGATGGAGTGCCTCGCTGCAGCACGCAGGCATCCTGGTACTGAGATTGCATATTCATCATCTGCATCGGAATCTGCGAGTTGGGGTATTCGCTCCCCGAGCTGTAGCTTCCAGTGGGCGGGGACTGCTGCGGCGACATCCGGTAGCTGTTGATGGCCCCATAGGGAGCCATCAGGTTCGGACTGATGTGGACATTGGCGGTCCGGTTGTTCCCACTGCCCATGGGCGTCGAGGTGTGCTGCACCGGGGCCGATGGAGTGTTGCGGGTGTTCCGGCTCGTGTTCTGCGCCGACGTAATGGGCGCAATGTTCATGTTGCCCGGATAGTACTTGTACTGCAGCGGCGTCACCTGCGTCTGCAGCATGTTGGGCGGCGTGGAGATGTTCCTGTTCTGCATCAGCAGGTGCGGCGGCGGGGTCATCGAGTTGGGCGGAATGGGATGGTGCGGCGAGGGGGCCAGATTCACCTGGGCTCCCGGCGACGTGTTGCACGGCTGGCTCTCCAGGCAGTTGGTAAGCTGCTGTAGCTTAGACAGACTGCAGAGATTGCCAGCCAGCGAAGCGGTTGCACCGCTGCTATTGGCCGCAGCTATCGCATCCGCCTGACCCGCCTGACGCTGATCATTGTTGCCCGCCGCTGACGGACCGCCCAGAGAACTGGAAACGGGCACTCGCGGCGCATTCTCGGCAGCCGGCATATTGTTATGCAAATAGAAATTGTTGACGGCACACGCCGACGACGGCTGCTCGATGCGCTGATGGCTGTTGGCCAGCGAGTGCACGGAACTGTTGAGCGACATCCGCTGCTGAATCACCGCCGGCATCCCGGCAATGTCGTAGTTCGAGGGATTGGCCGAGAAGTTCTGGCTGATTTGCGGAATGGGCACGTAGTCGATGGGCTGCATGTTCTGCTGGTGGCCACCATGCTGCGAGAACTGCAGGTTGTGCAGGGAGTCGTGGTGCGACTTGGAGATATTCGCCGTAGCTCCGCCGCCCTGGGGAATCTGATGATGAGTATTGGTTGTGGTTGTGGCTGGCGCTGCGTTTTTAGTGTCACGTTGCTGGGCATTTCCGCTGCGAATTTGTTTGGGCGTGGTGGCTCTGTGAGAAGGTGTCGGTGAACTTACAGCGATGTCCGCCTGCTAAAAGGAAATTTATTGCAATTTATACATTATACTTAATAAAGAGAATATAATTTGCATTACCTGGGCATTCAATTTCCTGCTCTGGTGCTGGTGCTGTGGATTGCTCAGGAGATTAATGTTCGGCGAACCCTCTGGCGCCAGATTCATATTAAGATTGTTCTGCTGCTGCATGTGCGAATTCTGGATGGACATGTGCATGGGCGTGGTCACCGGTTGGTTCTGCATGGAGCAGTCCGAGAACTGTCTGTGCGGCTGATGCATGTGCACATTGGACGTGGCTGCGATTTCCTGTGAGCCGTGGGCGATGGCGGTGCCAATATTGGCCGGCGAGTCCATGTTTATTTGCGCATTGATGCCGCAATCGTAGTGCTGCATGGCCGAGTTGCCCGCGGACTCGGTGTTGTAGACCATATTCGGATTGACGTCGGATTGGCCACCTCCACCGCCGCCGCTCACTTGCAGGTTAGCATGCTGGACGGAGGCGTGAATGTTGGGATGGCCAATCTTATTGAGCTTTCCCTCGCGCGAAATGACTGAGGTCGAGTTGACGCCGTGCTCGACCTTTTGCTTGGCCGGCACAGCTCCTCCCGGCTGCGAATTGGGCATCAGAACAGTTGATTCCGAGGGATTGGGATTGCTCTGTCGTGGCACAGGATTCTGGCCATTGGCCAGAGACTTCATTTGCTGCGCCTGCTTCTGTTGAGTGGCGCATTTCTGATTGTAAATGGCCGCCTGGTTGTTGGCCGCATATTCGTTGCAGTGCTGCACGTGCGCATCCTCGCGAGCAGTGCTCACCACATTGACACTGGACACCACCTTGGGCTGCTGCTGCTCCTCCTTCTTGCCACTGTTCTTGCGCTCCACCTTGTGCTTCTCCTTGGTCTGGTGCATCTGGTGATGGGCGTGCTGCATGGCCAAATTGGCGGACTGATAGAGGTTCTGGGTGAAGTTGTGCGTGTAGGCCATGGTCGTGGCCAGATCCTTGTGGAACTGCTTCTGTCCCTTTTGCGCGGCGGGGTCCAAGTGTGAGAGGTTGTAGCCGTAGTATTCCCACTGCCAGTACTGCGAGGTGTGATAGTTGGGCATCTGATTGAGCGGAAACTGGGAGGGAATTGAGTTCTGCAGCTGGGCATGCTCGTTGCCCTTCAATTGGATCTTGTCCCGAATGGGAATAGGTGCCGAGGGCGCCCTTGCCTGCGTCTTTTCCTCCTCCTTGACCTGCACCAGTTGCTGGTCCGTTTTGATGACTTCCTTTTCGGGCAGCACCTTCACCTTGCTGGGATCGTACTTCTTTTCCATGTTGTTGACCTCAGGTTTTACAACTGGAGCTTCAGGCACGGGTTTCTTGATTGCCTTCTCTTTAATCTCAGCGTTCTCCTTGGCAATTGGCTGCCCTACTTTTTCCTGTACAGGCTTTACCGGCTGTGGTGCTGGTTGCTCCACCAGGGAAGGAATTTCCGTACGGTTTGGTGTGGGATTTAATACCGGGTTTTCCACTTTTTTCACCCTTTCCATTTCTGGTGGCTTCTGTGAAACTGTACTAGGTTGAGCGGTTTCCTTAGCTTTTTCCTGCTGATCACTTGGAGCGGAAGTTGGAGCCTCTGGCACAGGTTTTTGCACAGGTTTTTGCACAGGTAACTCTGGCGGAGTCGCCGCTGAGTCCGGGGAAAACTTCAAGTAGTTTACATCCAACTCTAGTTTACTTTCTTCCGCCGGTTTTGTTAACTTTTCCGTATTGGCAGGAACATTTACCTGCTGCAAAACGGGTTCGGCAGCCACTGGTTCCGATTTTTCGGGACTCTTCGGCTTGGGCTTCTGTTCAGGAACTTCAGGAGGTTTTATCTCCTTAATGCTAGCCTCCTTGGGACTTTCTTTCGTCTCGGGTGTGCTTACCACTGGCTTATCCTGCCCATTATATTTGACATCTTCAGTTTTGTAGGACGTTACGTCAGAGAACAGCGTCTTCTTGGTTTTCTTGGCCACTGCATCGAGCACTTGATCGCTTACGCTGTTGGCTTCGCCCTCGTTTTTCGACGACTCTTGGCTTTTCTCCGGGCTCTCAGCTTTGGCCACCTTAACCAACTCCTTAGCGGGTTCCTTGGCTGGACTAATTGACGCAACTTCGGCGGGCTCGGATGGAGTATTTCCATTGAACTGCGACTCCTCGGAGCGTTTTCCATTGGACTGTTTACCCCGCAGCTTGGGTACAATGTTGACCGGTTTGTCGACATGCTCCTTTTCCACAACACTCTTGCAAACCTCCTTGGCAGATGCTTCCTCCATTTTAGAGCCACTTTCGGTTCCAGAAATCTCCGTTTGACCTTGAACAGTCGGATTCTGATCGGCTAAAATCGCATTGCTCTCAAGCGGCCGGTCGAAATGCTTCCTTTTGTTGGTGTGGGGAATCAGATCGTTGCGTTTGGCCAATCGTTGGGCCCTTTTGGTCAAGTGCTCCGAGAGTTCCTTAGAAGATTTACAATCCGATGAGTCGGAGAGCTCGCCAAAGGACTGATCTTCAAGGGGCGGCTGTGGTGCAGCAGATACCTTGCATTTTTTTGCCTCATTTGGAGCCGATTTTAAGAACTCTTCCGGGCAGGCACGTTTCCGCTGGTTTTCCCTATCATCAACCAATTTCTCGCAGCTGGAACCCCGATTCTTAACAGGCAAGTCGGGACATTCCTGATTTACTTTCGGTGTGGTGGGCACACTTGGCTTTACGCTGATCTTGTTCTCTTCGTTAACATCCTTCAAATCGGATTTCTTTTCAATTTGGTTGTTCAAGTATTCACGATTGGAAATTGGCTTGATTATGTTGGGTAACTTTGACACCGACAGCAGTGGACTCCATCTCAAGCAGTCGGCTTCTATGATTATTCGAGTTTTACTGTTCGCCATTTTGTTATGGTGAGCCACCACTTTCTTCCAATCGATTTTTACATTAATCTGATATCTTATGTCGCCATCGTTCTTCCTTAACTTGATAAAGTTCAATAATTCAAAGGCCAACGCAATGTCGGATATAGCCAGACCCGTTTTAATGGCTATATCCTTGAAGGTGATCTTCGTGTGGTTGCGATACTTGTACAAGTACTCCAAGACGACGGACTTCCAGTAGGAAAAGTACGAAAGTCGTCCCAAATCCGAGAGCGGTTTCTCCGGCGTACCCAGCTGTCCCTCCTCGCGGCTCAACAGGTAACTGAAGTCGATCAGAAACCTTCCGTATCCCTGCCTCTGATACTGCGGCATCGTCAGGATGCAGGACACATTGTACTTTTGGGTACAGTGCTTTTCCTTCGAGAAGTAGCCAACCAGATGGCATCCGCTTTGATCGTTTTTAGTCAAGATATAGAACAGAAAAGGTTCCACGTCGTAGTAAAGGGTTTTGTGGTCGAGAAAGAACTTGGCCAGCAGGCACAAGTTCTGACAGTAAATCTTGTTAACGTTGCCATCCACCTCGAACACCGAAATGTTGCCCTGCCTAAAGATTTCCGTGCCCGGCGGCTGCTTCCAAATGCACTTGTTCTGATGTCTGTCCAGCACAGAACGACTCTTTGTGTACTTCAGGCAGAACTCGCACAAAAACAGCTTCAGCAGCCTGGCGTACTCCTGCGGAAACGGACTGGAGTACCAGGTTTCGATGTCCCACTTTCCGATTTGGATCGACTTGGGACTCTGGGTGTTCTGCCCCGGCTTCAGGCTCACATCATTCGCTTTCTCGATGTGGTTATTGGACATTTGAACGACTGCCTTGTGCAGAACATCTTGATATAATTCCACGTCCGTTGCGGTCACTCCAGGCGGTAGAGGCTGGTTTTCGAAGGGATTGGCACGCTTCGTGCTCTCGCCGGGCACTTCCTCATCGTTGTTAATTTCCGCTTTTCCATCAGCCTCGCTGTGCGTTTCCCTGCATCGTTCGATCTCCTCCAGCAACTGAACTTTCATAACAGTCTCCTCTGTTAGATACGGAATGTCATCCTCGCACTTTTCGTACGATTTTCCCGCTTCGAGGGGCATGCTCTTCAAGGGAACGATCTTCTTCTTCTGCCCATTTTCGGTCTTTCGCTTTATGGTCATGCCGCCGATGGATGTGGAGTTTTTATCTGGAGTAGAGGAAGCTACTGGAGCGCTCTTTTGCGCTCGATTTGCGGCGGGGGACGTGGGAAACGTGCTTGCCGTTGCTGGCTTGGTGTAACCAATGCTTTTGGTGTTATTTTTCGATTTTACAAATATGTCAATTGGGTTTTTTGCCACCGCAGCAAAGCCCCAGTTCTCACTGGCCACTTCATTGTTATGCGGCGAGCCCAGACCATCGTTGGTATTCAGTTTAGTGCAACTCTGCTTCTCGTTCTCGAAGATCTTTCCCTTCAGCGTGCTGCGATCGGTGTCATAGTCCTCTTCGTCGTTCTCGTCATCGCATTCGGAGCTGTCGCTGGAACTCTCGCTGGAGTCCGAGTCTGAGCTCGATGAAGTGCACGAATCCGAGGATGTGCTCTCATCCTGATCGTTGTCATCGCCATTCCTGTTCCTGTCGTCGTCCTCGTCGTCGTCATCATCACTTTCGCTGGACGAGCTCGTGGATGACAGATTCGAGAAGGTTCGCTTGCGCGTTTCCTGGCTAGCCAAGTAGCCTCCCTGTAATATTTGCGACCTCTTCTGCTTGCTGGGGAACTCGAACTGATCCTCGCTGTGGTTCAATTTTCTCGAGCTTAAGCTGGCCGGCATCTTTTTCCGCTGGCCATTGCCGTCATTGTAAACGCAAAGTTTCGAGGTCGAAGGACTCTCGATGTTGCCCTCTTTTTTGATGGATTGCCGCTTATTGGAGCTCGCCATTCTGAAATAAAGAATTTGAGTTAGATACGTATTTTTTGCACTTCAAATGTATTTAAAAGTACCTGTCAATCTCCATTTTTATTCTTGTATTGTCTTTTTTAACCAGTTTTGGGTTATCTATACTTTGTTTGCAGCATGTTTTGCACCTGAAATGGGGTTTAAAAGGATAAGAAGCTAAAGTTATGATTACTTTGTATTTACTTACCTATATGGATGCTTGGGCTTCTTGTCCGGAATCGTATCGAGACATGTTAGGTGAAAGTGATCCTTGCAAACAAAGCACTGCAGCAGACAAGGTCCCCGGTTACGCATTTTGCAGACAGCGCAGTCGGCGCAGTTCTGGCAATCCCAGATTGTGCCCTTGGTGACGAGCATGTAGAGCAGCACGTATGATTGGGACTTGCACCTGCCCGCGATATTGGCGCAGGTGGTGTGCAAAGAGATGCCGCACTGTTTGCAGGAGCTCAGTGGCTCTGGGATGCCGTTGAGGTTCTTCTGCGAGTTCCCCGAGCAGTGGGTGCAGCTCTCCTCGCCTTTGATTACCACATCCGAGGTGGGGGCACATTTGCGCGGTGTCGTCAGGGACTTGCCCTTTTTGTACAGCTTTCCCTCCTGGATTAGAAAGCCGGCATCCACTGCCTTCTTGATGGACGCCTTAATCACGGACTTGAAGTCCACATTGGGCGACAGATCGATGCAGTTGAACTTTTGAATGTAGTTCTCTATGCTCTTTATGGTAGATCCCTCGCATTCGCCCAGATCGTGCACCGCCTTGGCCACCAGTTTGTACAGATTGGTGTTCTTGTCCACCTTAATGCGGCGCTTGGCCATCGGGGCCTTGTAGGAGTGCAGTCCCTTGTTGTAGACCTTGATCACAGCTCCCGATTCGACAGCCTTCTCTAGTTTCTCGGCCACAATGTCCTCGTGAAACTTGTGATGCGTGCCGATTGCCTGGCAAATCCTCTGCACGGAGGGCCTCTGCTTCTGGGACCTGATCTTTGATATGGCCTCGAGGATCCACTGCTTCCAGGTGTCCATGTTGATGTCGTGGGCCGATTCCCTCATCATGGCTTACTGAAAAAGATAAGTAGTTCTTATCTATGAGATATTTTAATACCCAATAGGGGCCGCATCACTAAATCACTAAGAGATGTCTCAAGATACATACTTAAAGATATTGCTAATTTCAAAACTATTTGGGTATGGTTGCATCTGTCAGATGAATTCAATAAGCACCTATCTTTCTCTTTATAGGAAAAGATACAAATTTATCTTGGCCTGCCTAGAATTATGTGTCAAAAACATACGTTCTCTATAACTCGCTTGAACGCCAGTGCGAAATTACTTGTGGACTACTGTATTTAGACTCCGGCCCTTGAAGTATCTACACTTTGCACTCATGAGACCACAAATAAACACAAATAATCAACCATAATTCGCGAAATTCGAGTAATCCGAGTGGTTTCCGCACAACTATCCCATTTTTTATGTACGTATCGTATCCACTTTACAAACTATTCTACTGCATACACACATATTCAGATACATATGCAAGCCAGTATGCTCGTATGTACATACGTTTATTATTCCGATTGTGGTGAAAGTAAGCGCGAATTTATTGCGAACTGCGGATATAACTCAACGCCGCGTTAGCAGTTCATCGATGAACGCATCTAAAGACATTAAATATCTTGAAAACAATAACAACTATTAATTTTGCAATGAAGTTTGATCGCTACAGAGTATTAGAAGGCTTTATTAGGGCCCTATCTACACTACGCCACAACAGAAATGCGGCGGGATGGGGTGGCAGTGGGTTTTGGAACGTCGGAATGGGACAGGAACGCCAGCGCATTAAAAATAATTAAATCTTTTACGACAAATTTAATTATTACTTTTTAATCTTATTTATATTTATTACTATTTTATTTTCATTGCCATTTGATAATATTACATTGCATAACAAAAGGTAATATATCTTATTTTTATGTACAACTCATTGTAAAATGAAGATTCAAAATCAAGGGAACAAAATTGATAAATACATAGGTAATTATTTTAAACGAAAGTTAAATTTAAAAAAATCAATTTTCGGCTGATCGGGGCAGTATGACCGCTCTGACGGAAAATCCCATAAACACTTATTTAATACCTGGTATTTTAAGGCAGATCTCCAGACCCGGAAAGGTCATACTATTTTCCCAAACGAAACGGAACGGAACACTACATCTTCGACAACAGTTCGGCTTTTCTTTTTGCACTATTTTGGATAAATATGATTTAGTCCGGAGACAAAACAATATCTAAAATGGAATACGAATCTTCCGAAATCAGTGGTAATATTTGCGGTCCGGTGACACCAAAATCGAGGAGTAGTCGCTTGTGTTTATTTGTTTGTTGACCATTTGTTTTTTCGCACTTTTGTCAAATATACATACATATGCATATAAACAATTATTTATTTATATCTATGCGGAAGAACAAACAAACTCTCAGACGTACATATGCATATATCAAGATATGAGTGTATGGATTTATACCTAATATATCCTCCTGCACGGGGGGTCGGCCCAATACATATGTAATACCCCGCATACATATTTGAAAAATCGAAACGGCCCGAATATGAATTGTAAATATTGGTAGCGTAGCCAATAAGAAAAAACGTATAAAATTATGTATTTGGAAAGTGGAAATCTATTACAATCAGGGCCTTGTTTCAGTGTTTTCTATTTTAGGCCAGTGCACTCCAGTCCAGTCAATTGTTTAACAAAGTACATAAGAGTGGGTCTATACGTTTCCCCACGTTTCGGTTTCGGTTTTGGTCTCCATGATAACCTACCCGTTTGAGCTGATTTTTTGCCCCCCGAGCCACATTTTTAAGTTGGAAGGAGCCAGGTGATTACGACGACGTCAGTGGGTGCGGCATTATTGTGGGGCTTGCAAATATTTGCAATGCATGTGTTGGTCTGCTTTTTAGGGTAATACAACAATTACGTTCTTGGGCAAAGGAGGACAAGCCTCAATAAGTTCTTATCTGGTTAGGATAGATGATTTGAGGGCCATATTTTACTAAATAAGTACAAAATTTCTATACTATCTTGTATTCTATCTTTCCCATTTCTATCTTTTTGGTATGGTAGATAATACGTTCAACATTATTAAGCTTTTGTGAGGTATTTTATTTTTAGAGTATCTTTACTTACCTAGTATAAGCCATTCCAATATTTTAGGAATATAAATTGTTTAGTTGTATTATTATGTTCCCATTTCAGTACCCATTCAGATGTATAGTGACTCAAAAGCTGCATTTCAGATATAATAGCTCTATACAAAATTTCCAAGAGTTATCATTTTGTGACTCAAGAACCCATTTCGATACTTTCAGATATAACCACAGGAAGCTGCAAAAAAAGGCTCACATTTCTAAAATATATTCTAAGCGACACTACAAACGATCAAAAATGGGCAGCCGAATTCGGCGAGGACACGGAAGGGCATCAGTTTTCGTTGGATTACCTGCTGGACACCTTCATCGTGCTCTACGATGAATGCAGTAACTCTTCCCTGCGCAGAGAAAAGGGGGTCTCCGATTTCCTCAAACTATGTAACTATGATTGGTAAAAAAAAAATACTTGATATATATTATAACAAACCAAATCCCTAGCCAAACCATTCGTGCATATTGTGCGAAAACTGCGACTGGGCCGGGATGATTTTGATATACTCAAAATCATCGGGCGCGGTGCCTTCGGTGAAGTCTGCGTGGTTCAGATGATATCCACCGAAAAGGTGTACGCCATGAAGATACTGAACAAGTGGGAGATGCTGAAGAGGGCTGAGACCGCCTGCTTTCGCGAGGAGCGGGATGTTTTGGTGTTTGGGGACCGGCAGTGGATCACCAACCTGCACTACGCCTTCCAAGACAATATTAACCTGGTAAGGCGGTAATCCACACTCTCCTTTATGAAATACTCATGAATTCCTCCATTTCAGTATCTTGTAATGGACTATTACTGCGGCGGAGACCTGCTTACGCTGCTCAGTAAGTTCGAGGACAAGCTGCCCGAGGACATGGCCAAGTTCTACATCACCGAGATGATCTTGGCCATCAACAGTATTCACCAGATTAGGTACGTTCACAGGGACATTAAGCCGGATAATGTGCTGCTCGATAAGCGCGGTCATGTGCGGCTGGCGGACTTTGGCTCCTGCCTGCGACTGGACAAGGATGGCACTGTTCAGTCCAACGTGGCTGTGGGCACGCCCGACTACATTTCGCCGGAAATATTGCGGGCCATGGAGGACGGAAAGGGGCGCTATGGCACAGAGTGCGATTGGTGGTCCCTGGGAGTGTGCATGTACGAAATGCTGTACGGCGAGACGCCCTTCTACGCAGAGAGTTTGGTCGAGACCTACGGCAAGATCATGAATCATCAGAACTGTTTCAATTTACCGTCACAAGAGACCATCAATTACAAGGTGTCGGAGACTTCGCAGGACTTGCTCTGCAAACTGATCTGCATACCCGAGAACCGACTTGGCCAGAACGGCATCCAAGACTTCATGGATCACCCCTGGTTTGTGGGGATCGATTGGAAGAACATTAGGCAGGGGCCTGCACCGTATGTGCCGGAAGTGTCGAGTCCCACGGACACTTCCAACTTTGATGTGGACGACAACGACGTTCGGTTAACGGACTCCATTCCTCCGTCGGCCAATCCCGCCTTCTCTGGATTCCACTTGCCGTTCATTGGGTTCACCTTTTCACTGAGCAGCAGCTCCACTTTGGACTCAAAGAAGAATCAGAGTTCCGGTTTCGGAGACGATACCTTGGATACGATAAGCAGTCCACAGCAGGCCATCATGCCGAGCAACAACTCGGAGGCATCGGTGGACTCCGTTCAGGAGAAGCAGCTGAAGGCGCTGAATGAACAGCTGGCAGCTTTCAAGCAGGAAAAGGCCGAATTGACGAAGCAACACAATGAGATTTTCGAACGGCTCAAGACTCAAGACTCGGAACTTCAGGACGCCATCTCGCAGCGCAACATCGCCATGATGGAGTACTCGGAGGTCACGGAGAAACTCTCGGAGCTGCGTAACCAGAAGCAAAAGCTCTCGCGCCAGGTCAGGGACAAGGAGGAGGAGCTCGATGGGGCCATGCAGAAGAACGATAGCCTGCGGAACGAGCTGCGAAAGTCGGACAAAACGCGGCGCGAGTTGGAGCTGCACATCGAGGACGCCGTCATCGAGGCGGCCAAGGAGAAGAAGCTGCGGGAGCACGCAGAGGATTGCTGCCGGCAGCTGCAGATGGAGCTGCGCAAGGGCTCCTCGAGTGTGGAGACAACGCTGCCGCTGAGCATTTCCTCGGAGATGTCGTCGTACGAGATCGAAAGACTGGAGCTGCAGTTCTCGGAGAAGCTAAGTCACCAGCAGACGCGTCACAATATGGAGCTGGAAACGATGCGCGAGCAGTTCAGCGAGTTGGAGAACTCCAATTTGGAGCTCACCAAGGAGTTGCAGCAAACGCAGGACAGGCTGAAGTTCACGCAGCTAGAGTCCATTACCGATTCGGCCGAAACGCTGTTGGAATTGAAGAAGCAGCATGATTTGGAGAAGACCACCTGGTTCGAGGAGAAGCAGAGGCTAAGCTCCGAGGTGAATCTCAAGTCGAAAAACCTGAAGGAACTGCAAGCCGAGGACGACGAGATCTTCAAGGAGCTGCGAATGAAACGGGAGGCAATTACATTGTGGGAACGGCAGATGGCGGAGATCATTCAGTGGGTGTCCGATGAAAAGGATGCACGCGGCTACTTGCAGGCCTTGGCCACCAAAATGACGGAGGAGTTGGAGTACCTCAAGCATGTGGGAACCTTTAACAATAATGGGGTGGACAATAAAAACTGGCGAAATCGCCGCTCACAGAAGCTGGACAAGATGGAGCTGCTGAATCTGCAGAGCGCACTGCAAAGGGAGATTCAGGCCAAGGCCATGATCTCGGATGAGCTGAGTCAAACGAGATCGGACCTCATATCCACACAAAAAGAGGTGCGGGACTACAAGAAGCGCTATGACTCCATCCTGCATGATTTCCAGAAAAAGGAAACCGAGCTGCGGGACTTGCAGAAGGGAGGCTTGGAATACTCAGAGTCGTTCCTCAATAAATCAACGCATCATGGCCTGAGCAGCGCTTTCTTCCGCGACATGTCGAAGAACTCCGAGATTATTGATTCCGCCGAGAGTTTTGGCAACGAATCCGGTGACAATTTCACTCCCAACTTCTTCCAGTCCGGCAATTCGGGCATGCTCTTCAACTACGAGCCAAAGTATTCGGGTAAGAACAGCAAGGAACACGCGGCCATGAAGGAAGTCTCGGTCAGCGATTTGTCGCGCGAGGAGAGTGACCTGCTGGTCAAGGAATCTCAGAAGAAAGTGCCCGGCAACACGGCGATCCATCAGTTCCTGGTGCGCACCTTCAGTAGCCCCACGAAATGCAATCACTGCACATCGCTGATGGTGGGACTCACGCGGCAGGGTGTCGTTTGCGAGATCTGCGGCTTCGCCTGTCACACGATCTGCTGCCAGAAGGTTCCAACCACGTGCCCAGTGCCCATGGATCAGACGAAGAGGCCGCTGGGCATAGATCCCACCAGAGGAATTGGCACGGCCTACGAAGGCTATGTAAAAGTACCCAAATCGGGAGTGATCAAGAGGGGATGGATCAGGCAGTTTGTGGTCGTCTGCGACTTCAAGCTCTTCCTCTACGACATTTCGCCCGATCGATGTGCACTGCCCAGCGTGAGTGTGTCCCAAGTGCTGGATATGCGGGATCCGGAATTCTCAGTCGGAAGTGTGCGGGAAAGCGACGTTATTCATGCCGCCAAGAAAGATGTGCCATGTATTTTCAAGGTAAGCATTGGGTAGTCGTTAAAAAGGTATAAGTCTAAATGAAATCCCTTCCTCCTTTCAGATAAAAACCGCCCTTATTGATGGCGGTCTTTCGCTGAACACTCTCATGCTGGCCGACAACGAGTCGGAAAAGTCCAAGTGGGTCATTGCCCTGGGCGAACTACATCGAATATTGAAACGAAACAGCTTACCAAATACTGCTATATTTAAAGTTAATGAGATTCTGGACAATACCCTCTCTTTAATAAGAAACGCATTGTGTTCTGTCATCATATATCCAAATCAGATTTTGTTGGGAACCGAAGACGGTCTGTTCTACATTAATTTAGACCAGTACGGTGAGTTATCAGATGTGATAAACATTCTTGAATATTAAGAACATTTCTTAATCAACCATATTTCCAGAAATCGCTCGTATTGGAGAAAGCAAGAAGATACTTCAGTTATGGTACATTGAAGAGGAGCAGATTCTCGTTATTCTTTGCGGAAAGCAACGCAATTTGCGGCTATTACCAATAAGAGCATTAGAGGCTAGTGATGTCGAGTGGATCAAGGTTGTCGAATCGAAGAACTGCATATCCGCTTGCACTGGAATTATTCGCCGCTTCCCCAACATCGTCTATTCATTCATCATCGCTCTTAAGCGGCCCAATAACCACACACAAATCGTAGTTTACGAGATTAATAGAACGCGCACAAGACACCAGAAGACTTGCGAATTCACCATCGGCTATATGGCTCAGCATCTGCAGATACTGTCCGATATGCGATTAGTTGTAGCTCACCAAAGTGGATTTACCGCCTACTTCCTGCGTGGAGAAGCCACTGCTATGTGTGAGTAATAATATTTCTCTATTTATATTTCTTTTATTTAACATCTTGACATTTTTCAATAGCTTTGGTTCATCCGGAAAACCAGTTATGTGCATTTTTGAATTATTCCGGAGTTGATGCGGTCAGGGTTATTGAAATTCTGTGCCCAAGCGGTGGCAACTTTGGCGAGTACTTACTGGTATTCCAAACTTTGGCCATATACGTCGACCTCCAAGGGAGGAAGTCTCGTGATAGGGAAATCATGTATCCAGCCTTTCCTACGTATATAAGTAAGTAAAATCGACGACTCAGTAATGACTCATAGTGTATAATTCATTTGTGTATATTTACTAGCTTTTTGTGATGGCCATTTGCTGGTGTTTTCGGATACACATTTGGATATCTTCAATACACAGACCGCTGAATGGGTGCAATCGATTGGTCTGAAGCAATCACTTCCTTTAAATAACCTGGGAAATGTTGTGTTGTCCTCAGTCAATGACACCCCACTGATTGTTTACCTGTCCAATATTCACACAAGTAAGTTGGATCTTCCATATGTTTATAGCGAAAACTCATAATCATTTAATTTGTTATTCGCAGAGGGCCTTTTGCAATATCGTGAGGGAAATCGGAAGGGACTTCCCAGCATAAAGCGGAGATTCTCCATCAGAGAGATAAACAAGACCATCAAAAGGTTAGGATTTGGTTAAGCAAATCAGTGCAAGCAACTCATATTCTCATTCGATTATTGTAGTGATCGTAGATCAAAGATGATATCAGCACCGACTAATTTCAACCACATTTCTCATATGGGGCCGGGGGATGGCATTCAAAATCAACGACTCTTAGACTTACCAACAACGCTCGAAACAGCCGATCAGGCCTGCAGTCCAATAATACATTCGCTGAGTTCTATAACCCAAACTAGAAAATCAAATTTTCTAGAGCAAGGTAAGCAGTTTTTTTTATTGCATGATCGTGCCGAGTTTACTAATTCGAATTCATTTTATTGTGCTTCCAGTGGATGGAAACTCTGATGACTATGGCAATGATAATATAATCTCTAGAACCCCCAGTCCAATGGCATCGTCCTTTATGGACGGCTTAAGCAATAACGAATAATTTCAGTCAAATCTCTACACATGTAATTTACTCGATTTTTTAAGCTTACTGTTTGTAATAAACATATTTAATTTCTCGAATATCAAACAAGTGCGTTTTGATTGATATTACATTTGAACCACATTCTAAGCCAACCGATTTACAATTTCCTTGAGTAGTTCTGTTTTATTTGTATACTTAGTTGCATGATAAATACATACATTAAAAATCTTTGATTTGTACACAGAAATCTTCAATATTTATATATTTCTTATTTCATAGCCTATCCGTAACCTACTTCTTTGATTTTTTCTTCTTTTTCAAAATCTTGCTCTTCTTTTTGCTTTTCAGATCCTTACGTTTCTCACTTCTCAACGATTCGGTTGACGAATATTTAGCATGTTTCTTCAGTTTCTTATCCTTCTGTTTCCTGTGTTCCATGCTGTTGTCCGAGGACGCACCTTCATTTTGTATCGTATTATCGTATTTTACAACTAAGCTGCTCGACGAACTGTTGTCGACGAATTTCCTGAACGGGTTGTCGGGACGACAGGGCTTGGGTGGAGCTGCCACAGCCGTAACAGAGGATACAACTCGGCCGTCGCTGGACTTTGTGTTTCTAGCAGCCCTTCGATCCGAGTCGTCGCTATTGATTTGATCATACTTTGCGAGCTTAGGGTCGGAACGCTCCTTGTACGGACGCCTATGCTTGTCGTCCTCGGGCGTAGTCCGCTTATACGAAGAACGCTCTTGCCTTTTCTCCGCAGGCGCGTTCCTGTCGCGGGATTTGTTATCCCTCTTCCTGCTGCCATGCCGATCCGATCTGCCCCGGTTCGCAGCATCGTCGTCGGAGCTTCTGCCCACCGCCTCCCTTCGCCTGCCCTTCGATTTGTCCGGCGAACGGCTCCGGTCACTCGGAACCTTATTGCCCAGCCTTTCCTTTACCGACTTGCTGCTGGTACGTCTCGGCGAAGGCGAGCGATCCTTGTCATTTCTGATCACGGAACGGTCTTTGCTATTGTCCTTGGAGTTAATAATAACTTGAAATTCCACTGGCCTTATGGCGTTTATAGCCTTGGCGAATATTGCATTCTCAGCTTTGCGGAGCACGTCCGAAGTTATTTCTGACTGGTCGTCCAAAGGTCCAACGGATTTCTTGGAGGAATCTTCCAAGCTCAAGTTATTCTCCTCCAGTTCCCATTTGGATAGATTGACAGAATTAGCCTCGCTGCGTTTGCTCCTCGAGCCTAGATTATCATCGCTGACCACATCCGCATGAACCTTTTTGGGATTTGGGTTTTCTGCAGTGTTGCGAGCGGGAGAAACCAAAGCGGGTTCTATCTCAAAGTTGGGACTACTCGCCCTGGGCGATAATAGGATTTTGTAATTGGTCTCATTTACGATTGAGCTGTTGTTTATATCCGAGTCAGACCGATTTACCGAGGAGCTCTTCTTTTGGCGCTCTCCCTTCTCCTTCTTGCTCTTCTCCCGCTTGTCCTTCTTGCTTTTCTTGCGTTCAGCCTTGTCCTTCTTCTTCTTCTTGCGCTCCTTCGACGAAGGACTCTTCGCCTTGTTCTCCTTTCCCACATTGGGCCCCACTTCCGACGAATCGTCCAAGGCGGGTTGGGAGGCAATAACTCTAGCCTTCGCTGGCAAATACTCATCGTGTGTCCTTTCCGGCGTTTTCGGTGAGCACTCGCGTTCTCGCAACTGGGCAGCAGTCATTTTCGGTGTGGTGATCTTTGCCGGCGGCGTCAGGCTCCTGTAGCTGCTGTCGATCGGCTTGTGTTCCTTGCTCTTGCTACGAGACCTGTGCCTTTTGCGTGGCACCTCTTCGTGTCTGCTGGCCTCCTCGCCCTTCTTGTTGCTTCCGCCCTTGCTGCTGCTGCTATGATGTGAGGCTTCCAAGCCGGCCTGGTGCTTGTTCTTGTAGTCGTCGTCATCTTGAAGCTGCAGCGGCTCGAATCCGGGCGGAGGAGGCTCAACTTGTTCTGGTCTTGGCGCAATAGGTTTGCTGTAAGACTTGTCCCTGTAATCACTCTTGTAAGCCGGCTTAGGAGACGCAGAGCGGCGATGGCTAGATCTGTTCAACGATAGAGAAATGTTAAGTATCTTATTTTCAAATAGAAAGGTAACTTGAAAAACTACCTTTTGATTCGTCCACCCGGTGATTTGGACCCGTCATTGGGCTGTCGACTAGAACGAGGGTGACGCATATGCCGCTCATAGCTATGTTCCCGCTTCCTTTCCCGTGATCGCGGCCTCTTGTCCTTCAAATTGTCCCTAAGATTGTCCTTTTCGTACATGGGCGATTTGAAGCGGTGCCTCTGCCTATCCGGGGACCTCGACCTGTGGCGGTCTGCACTGCGAAATCGGTCCACCTTCTTCCGCTCCTTCTCCTTCATGATGCGATTGAAGGCCTCCAATGGATCGTCAATAAGACTGCAATATGTTGTGTGTTATTATTACACCAATCTTGTGTACAATGACCTAGAGATACTTACCCGGAACCGACCTTGGCTGCTACTCCTTGATATATTGAAGCTAAATTTGGGGACTGAAATGGTTGTGACATATTCATATTCATACTTCCGCCTGCAGATCCGTACGGCGTACGCATTGGGTGTACGGATTGGTTTTGATACGGCACATAGCTGCAATTTCAGAGGTTAATTACAATTCAAAAAGCTTAACGTTGATTGTAAGCAATACTGTTTTAATGAAAAATACTCCAAAGTAACCAATATTCAACAAAGCCCAAAGGCTCGTTAGCCAAAAGCTTAAAGTACTCTTAACTAAGTAGAAACTTAAGTATATTGAGATCAGGCAGGACCGGCTGCTTATGGATTCGTCTACAGCCTCGGAATTCCGGTAGCTCGGATACTCGCCACTCGACTCGATCCACATGGTGGCTGGGATCCCAGACGGTTGGAAATGAAACCTACCTTAGAGGAGGCCTCTGTCCCATGTTGTTATACCCGTTGTTGTAGGCTGGCATGTGGTGGCTCATCATGTGCATCGGGGGTGGACCTGGACCACGTTGCATTGGCATGTAGGGGGGCTTGTAAGCACTTGATCGGCGAGCGTCCTCCGATTCGCTCATCATGTGCCCCTGGTAGCTGGGCACAGTGCCAATGGGCGTGGGCAGAAGACTCCGTTCCTTGTTGCCAGACTCGGATTTTGATGGACGGTGGTGCTTGTGATCGTGATCGTAATCATGCCTTTCGCGTCGGTGAGAGGACTCACTTGACCTTTGGGAATACGTTGGAGATCTCTGAAAGCATAAGGAATCAGTAAAGTGAACCGTGTTAAAAGTATACAAGTTATATCTCACCTTGCTATGATGAACTGATGTGGATTCAGGAGCAGGCTGGGGCATTTTAATGGTTATATTATCCTCATAGTCGGAATCATATTTATCTTTCTCTTTTTGTGACGGTTCTGCTGCTGCAGGAGGTTCAGGGGACTCCGATTTCGGTGGCTTATTGCCATTAGTTTCCGTTTCTTCTTGCTTATCAGTTTTCACCTCAGCCTCTTCGGTTTCCTCCTCCTTAACCGGCTTTTCCTCCACCTCCTTTTCAACAGGAGGTTTTTCCTCATTTTTCACTGCGGGTGCTAAAGAATAGATTATTATATTTCGTCTTTGTAGTTTAACTTTTACGATCTCACCTGTTTTAACAGCACTTTTGTTGTACCCAGTCTCATTTTTAAAGGCATTAACCGAATTCCTTAAAAATCGATTAGGAATAAGGGAGCCAGGTGAGCAGTTTTTCTCCTTGCAGTCGGGACACTCGCTATCCTCGGACTCCAACAATGAAGTGCGCACACAGTCGTCACAAAAGGAACTTCCGCAACAGGGTATCATGACGGCATCGACAAAAATGTCACGGCAAATGCCGCATATCAGATCCTCGGGTATTTCCTGACTTTGCACGGCAGGCAGCACAAAATCCGACGATTCATTCTCTGCGGCATCTGGCTTGTCCCGGAACGATCTCGGAATCCCTGTATTCCTTTTGACCTCGGGCTGGTCCTTGCCCGTTACAAAGGGGCAGTTCTTGATCCAATGGCCCGTTTTCTTGCATTTGTTGCATCTGTACGATGCCGGAACTTCGCCCACTTGAGATTGGCCTTTGATGCGATGGTACCTAATTAAAATGCACATTAGATATTGCTATTTTTGTCAAGTTCTTACACACTTACGTCTTGGGATCATAGTCAACAGTGCTCTGCATCATCATGGCTTGGATTTTGTCCTCCTCGCTGCCTTGCATTTTGGACAGGTCCATGTTGAAGTTGTCCTGCTTGGCTGGCGCCGTGGCAAAGGCATTTTCCGCAGCGGGTGGCTCCCAGCCCTTCTTCGTGGGATGGGCAATGGGTATGCGCGATATGATCAGCGTGGTGTTTTTGGGAATAAGCACTCCATCGTCCTTGTATTCTGGGAAGCAAAGTAAATATTGTTATTCGGACTAACTAATTATTTTTGCTCTTTCCAAACATACCTTCTTTACTCTGCGCATTTGTGATTTGAAGATCAAAGTCGATTATTTTACCCAGTCGCTTCTGCTGCACAATCTCCCTTTTCAAGTCGCCGACCGAAATGTGAAGTCCATCGAACGTAATGGTGTCGAAATTGAGGGTACTCTTAAATTTATAGTGTACCGACATGGTTAAATACAAGGGGAATCTGCGATGAAGAGATTAAGCTTGATTATCTTTTAGTGTCCAAGGTAAATCGGTTATCAGAGTCAACAAGGGTGGGGAGTTCAGAATATGTTTCATAAATATCTTAATAAACAAACAGATAAAGCCGTTTACATAACGGAGGGCTTTCAGTAAAGAGCTGAAAAAGTGTGACTACGACTGCAATCTCTAAACCTGCTTGACATGCTTTCGTGCGCCGACTAAAATGAAAGCCATGCAATGGTTCGATTTGTCAGACACATAGATTCACAAAACGTTTTTAAAGATCACTAAAATATGGTTTTTAATAATAGTTATTCAGAAACCGGTCTGGATTAAAATGACATAAATCTGCGTGTGGCTGCAATATTTACATATGTGTGTATTATGCTAGCCAATTTCGGGTATAAATAGCCATATATTGGCCCTTTACCAATATAATCCGAATATAGAAGCCCAAATTGCACATTCACTTTATTTGATCCACGCACAATATTGCCAGCATAGGGATTTCCCTACATATGTATGTATATATGTGAAGTCGTACAATTCCGGGTTAAATCCGAAGATAAATACATATATCTGCAAACGCTTTCAAAGTTATTTAACCACAGAACTTTTTGCCAACAGTGTAACGCGTTTTTTTGCTCTTACATGTGTATGTACATATGCTAACAGCATAAAATTGCATGTGCATAAAAATACACACGCGAAACATACATACGTACACATCGGTTTTCACCCATAATAATAACTAGTTAGAGGTTTGACCAGATTTGAACTGTTTCTTGTATTGCAGGTCAGCACCACGCACTCGTGTTGTTTACTACCGGCAAGCAATAAGGCACAAAAATAGCAATTACTTACACTACTTTGCAAGCTCATAAAAACTCCGACGATTTTTTTTTTTCCAATGTCTAGTCTTGAGATGCGCAAGTGAGCCTAGAGATGCGTGAAGCGGTCACACACGCACTAATCGATAGCTGCGACTGTTATCGATGTTGAACTGTGATTTGTAATTGCAAAACGAAATTTCTGTTCTGCACATTAAATACTTCTTTTTATTGATAAATTTAAATAAAATAATTATATTGGTTTATATTTTTCATAAGGCCTTTCCAAGTTTTCCTATTTTTTTTGGAACCACGTACACCAACGTTTGTTCTCTTCCGCTCGGATCGATGAAATGGAATGGAAAATGAGAAACGACTGAGTGAATCGTTTTTTTGCCAAAATTAATAAACAGCTGCAATTTACCTGACCAAGTCAAAAGCAGAAATATCTATTAAGGGAATAAAAAGGTTCAAAAATTTATTAACAGCAGTTAAACCAAACTACAACCATTTTTTGCTTATCTTAAAATCCAAAAAATTCGATGCAATCCTAATTTAGTCTTAATTAAATTATTTACATTAACAACTTTTGCGACAAAGTGCATATACAATCTAATAAAATCTATTGCTTTTGTATCACCGCCTTTCGATATTTGCACATAAACTTAAATATAATACAGGATTTCTAATTAGAAAGAATGTGTTTAATGGGTTTAAAATTAACCAACATAGGCAAAGGGATTGTATGGTGGCGGATAATAGTTGGGGAAAGATTGACCGGGTTGACCGGGAATGGTAGCTGTTATTAGCCTGGTAACAGCTGTTGGAACGACGGAAGTGGAAAAGATCGTGGTATAGGCGGTTCTTGCGCCAAAAGTAAGTTTCAAAACTTTGGAGCTCGTTTCCGTTACCATCGATTGCTGAATTTCGGTGGACGTGATTAACTGCTGCGGGGGAATGGGCAATAATGGATTGAACGGGTTGAATGGGTTGATTGAGAATGGATATTGTGAGGATGGAGTTAGCATGGAAATGGTAGCAACATCAGTGATGTATTCTGTTTTTTCAACAACACCAACTGACTTTGAAAGAGTTCTCATTATGGTTTCCGTTCCTCTAACTAGGGGAACCACATGGGACTCCCAAATAGTTTCTAGTTTTATAACGGGACGAGTGGAGGTTATCAAATTGTTCTGCAGGGTTTCGGGGAAGCTAATCGATTCCGGGATTAATGGGACTAACGGGTTAGTTATGTTACTCTTAACGTCCACTTTGTTCTTGGGTTTGATTTTTGCGTCAAATTTGCCAGTATTATCTTCATCGCCGAACTCAAGGTCCAAGTTTATTTCCGATCCGGCCTCGTCCAAACTTCCTTCAAAGTCCTTAAAGTTCTTCGATGGATTGAAGTCCTCGCTCAACGGGGATATTGTCTGAGTTACTGTGATGAGGCTGGTGTAATCGTACGTTTGCACCAGGGTAACATGGATCGTTTCGTTTCTTTTTTCAAATACAATAGGAAGGATCTGTGTTTTTAGCTTAGTGTGAGTTATGGAAAAGGACTCCGTGATGGTCTCCAAACTGGGAGTCTCCGTCTCTTCTCCTAAATAAATGGGTTTCAAGGTAGTAACACTACCCGCTAAAGCTTTGTCATCGGTGCTGGCAGTAGCCTCTAAAATATTCTCTGTCAAAGGACCATCATCTTCGGAATACTCTTTAGTGTGCTCCTCTTGGATTACTTTCTCTATGGTTGACGTGACGGTCAAAAAACGAGTTTTCTTAACCACTCCGGCCTGAAAATAAATTTAATTTATTACTGGGGCTGACAGGGATGGGATCCTCAAAAAACAGTATGTACTTTATGTAAACAGATTGATTACCTGGAATATAAATGGGGTTTTAATGGTGGCGATTTCATAGTAAGTGTCAATAAAAGGTTGTGGTGTCGATATTTCTACGTTCAATGTTTGCACGAAGTACTTCGAGTTGGGATCATCGTTATTATTATTTGCAACAGGACCATTTTGAGAGCCAGAAGCCTCAAGATCTCTTCCATTATTTAGAGCCTGATTGGTAATGATTTCCACTGGGATCTCATTACTTGGCGTTGTATCATTTTGGATGGTGGTCGGAAGATTGGGGTTAGCGTTCTTTCTAATGTTAACTTTGGGCTTCGGCGAGGACTTGTACTGCCATCTTCCAGGACGCCTATTTAGCTTAAATGAGTTGGGGCTCACAACCGACACTGGTTCTTCCTGTACAGCATTCGCATTTGCTTTCGTCCGATATGAGTGACGAGAGGTAGTTTCAGTTACTGATGGAGTTATTACCAGTTTGGAACTTTGGGTGTGCTTATTCCTCCTGAAATAAGAGTTGGTGCGAGAGACCATTTTAATATATAAGGGACCGTAAGCATTGGCATTAGTAGGGTTTTCGAAATTTATATTTTTCTTAAACTAACATTAAATTAAAATTTACCTCTTTCCCTTGGGTCGAGAAGACTTTCTGGTGCTCGATGATCCTCTATTATCGCGACCACTTTGTTGGCTTTTGCGTGGTGGTTTACTGGATAACTGGGTCTGAGAAGATGACTCCTTTACAGTTCTACTTGGTTGAATTGAGGCCGTAACTGGCTTGTTTATACGCGTCTGTCGGGGCTTACTCTTTTTCTCAACGCTCGAAACTGCATGGACCTGAGAGACTTTTGAGAATTTGGCAGATTCCTTAGTCGCCGTTACAATACTTTTGTATTCACTTGATCTTGTTTGATACCCATGAATAGGTTCCTTTTTCGATTGATATATCCTCTGCCGGTCGGCTTCGTTTTTCGATTTGAAGTTGACCAAGCGATAAGTTTCTTCTGCAAACTGTTCGGGCTGGCGAGATAGTAAATCATATTCGGGGGTGTTCAGAAGTGTTTGGATGGGCGAGTTCGAGAGACTTATATTGTAGGATTCTATCTGGGATGCTTTAGTTTCGGCATTAACATTCGAGTGAGTCACAATTAGAGGCGTTGGCTTAATTCCGACCTTCTCTTTTTCTTTCTTAGTTACTTTCGGTTTAGTTTCAATAATATTTATTATCTCGTGAGTATTGTTGGACTTTAGTTCTATAATGTAAACACAAAATACCAAATTATTTACGTATATTAAAGTAACAAATAATCTTATGTTAGTTAATTAGGAGTAATAAACTTACCAAAGGCTGGAGAACTTTGGGGTGAGAACACCATAACAGTATTCCCAATAGTAGTTGTAAAATCCAAAAATCCATAAACAGTTTGAGTGAGTAACTCGGTATCACCGCAAGTAGCTAGAGAAAATGTATTCAAAATCTTGGTTTAGTTTAGTTTATTATCTTGTTATTTCCCAGTGCTTAGACTAGGCATTTAAAATGGGACATAAGATTAAACTTTAATTGACACAGAATACATAGAGTCTATTGCAAAAGTAAATATTTTTAGGTTAGGCATACGAAATTGCACTGCTAAAATCAAGCTCTTTCAGAAGTTACGAGCATTAGAAGGTGGTACCCTAGTAAAGTGCAAACACAATGATTTCTTTAAAACCGGTTTTCTGAAAACGATTTTCTGATTGGCGGGCGTAATTACTCAAAAAAATATACATCCAATTTATTAAGACTGCGAAATATAATATATTTTCTTATTAAAATAAAGAGTAAACTCAAAATAAAAGCAAATGTTTTACAATTCTTTATAAACCGGTTTTCTAATTGGCATTCGAAATTACTCATTTTAAAACAATTAAAAACAATTGTTTTAAGACCCGGTAACCAAATTCAAAGTTTAAACATGTGATAAATTTGAATTTTTAAACAGTACTTATATAGTAAAGAGGGATTTTAAAGTTACAATAAAACACTAGCAACATTATAAATAAGAACTTACCGCTTCTTAGGGCGCAAAGTATTAGCAGGTAGCGCAACATGTTTTTAAAACTGTACAGGTGAAAAGCTTAGAAAAATTCAATAAAATCTGCAGAGCCAAAGAAACAAATATTAAGAAAATTATTAACGGTTAGTAGGTAATTAAAGCTTTCACCCGAAATGATTTAAATATTTAAATGCTTATTAATGAAACGTTAATAAATTTATGCATAGCACAAAAACGTAAAATTAGCGCTGTTCAAACTGGATTATAACGATCACTTCTTATTACACTTTATTGCGTAGGGTTTAATTAAAAGGCCATAAACAGTTTAATTGCTCTCCGTGACACTTGTTGCCATGTGTGATTACTTTTGGCCCAGTATGTGGGTTTGAAAAGTGAGTGCTGTGTTCATTTAGGGAATTATCCATGCAAGTAGGTCTGTTATGTAAAGTTTGTATGTACTCATACTCAAGTAATACGGTTAACTTTGTTTGGATTTCGTATGACCGAATTGTGATCGATCATTAGTTACAAAATTTTGTGTTTGAGCCAATTTGCTGACAGCCAACTCGTGTATCGTTAAGTTTATTCAGCGACCGCTATCTTTTGGCATTGAATGGGAAAAAACTGGGTAGGGTGGCCCATAATGATAAAATATATGGTATGTACAATACATATATGTAATCTCTCGATCTTTTGTGGCGGTAAATCACTTTGGTATTTGGTATTTCAAAGGCACTGTGCAAAATGCTTTTGCTCCCAGAGAACTGGTCAGATCACTTTTGAAAAACATTGAAACTTGCAATGGAGTGCGAGTAGTTTTCGCACCCACTGTATGTAACTAATGCACACGCACACTTAAAAACACAAAGGCAGTTAAACATTAGGTCATTGAGAAACGTTCAATAGAGAAAGGCTTCGTTTTTAGGTCCCCTTCGACTCAACACAAAAGATAATAAATTCAGTTTCTTTTCTTCCGCGGGATAAATCACTTACACTTTGTTTGGGTGTGGGTTTCTTTTTTAATGGTAACTCATATTTTTTTATGTTCGCCACTAACTTGCCACATAGGTATATATGTGCATACACTAAAAATGCATTTTTTTAACACTTATTCAGGAGGTAATTCGATTCAAAAACGACAATGCAATGATCTGATTAAAACATATTCCGAGCGAAATCATTAAAAACCTCTGCTGGCCGAGACAATTATGAAACTGAAACAGAAAGATATGGCCAACGCGAAGCATAAAGCTGAAGTGACTCCGAATCCAAAGTTACCATGGCCTGCACACATGCGCAAAGACCCGAAGAGAACGTCAACATCGTTAATTGTGGTTGGCCAAAGAGTAGGGTTACTCGATCCGATCCGAAAACCAGTTTGCCACTCTTGCTTTTCCGTTTCGATACGCCGTGGGAATATGTAAACTTTCAATGGCCAAAGACCGATCTCTCGCTGAATCTGGCGAATCTAAAACGCTTTTTTAGCTTATTGAAAGATGGAAATACTTTAAAAATCAAAGATTTTGAAAAAACAACCTCTGAATTTATTTATATTTTGTTTTACCGATATATTTTCTAATCTAATATATTTATGTATTATTTATTACTTTATTTTTGAAGATGTAATATGTTTTATCCGCTAAAAATTAAATTTCTCAAATTCAAAAAAAAGATTTAAAGATTATAATTTACGACTGATGTTAAAGGTCTACGTTTATTAAAGCTTGGATCATTTGAATATTATTGTTGATTCCATCGGGCCTGGCAACAGTCGTAGGCCATGCCCATTCCAAAGCCCAATCCCAGCCAAATCGGATAAGTTTGTGGACGCGTGAAGAACAAAGTAAAAACGCTGCCAATAATCAGGCCACTTCCACCCTTCAGGCAAAAGTCAGCCAGGCATTTGTCCGTGGTGATGGTTTCTGCAGTCACAACTGGAGACTCCCTTATTGGCTGTTTGGCGGGCTTTTGCGGATCATGCGACATTTTTGATCTTATAAGCAATTTTAAAAAAATTTCGAGAAGCAATATTTGCTTATGGAAAACTTGACATTTAAGGAAAATACATGACAGTTTACTACCCTCTATTACTTATGGAGTGTTCCGCTAAAATAGAAATAGTTTACGTTGTAAGTAAAAGGCCTGACAAATTTGAGCTAAAGAATTCGCGGTTAACGATTTTAAACAAAAAGAGGAATCTAAGGTAATTCCTTATCAATATAGTAATATCACTTTTTTTATTTCTAATATTAATTTTAAAAAAATTCTATTTTAATCTTTAAATATTAGAGTGGTATAGTAATTCATGAATGTTTAATTTTTTTCCATAAAATTGGTTCATAATGGGTTAACAGCATTCCGATGGTGACGTAGGCTAAATAAATAAAAACAACCTCAGCGAAAGGAGATGGATGACTGCCATAGTTACAAAATCCTAGGCAACAATATTTTTGTGTATTTTCGCCATGGCAACGGAAGCCTCGCGTGCCTCGAAAGATTGCGAACAGTGTCGCCTAAGTTCAAAACAGAGAAAGATGTGAAAGAAACGGACGAATCATGGATTGCAAAAGGAACTTCCTGGCCTATTTGGCACTTTTTTTTCACATAGTCAGTAATTATTGTTTAATCCATGTGCAATGTGTGGACGCCCCGTTTATACATATTCCGGGCAACGGAGTTATATCCGGAACTTATCTGAAAATGTTCCGAACCCAAAATATAAAGGCCTATCTTGGCATTCGATACGCGCAAGCCAGAAGATTCCAACCGCCGGATATCGAACTAACACCGTGGAAGGGGATTTTCAACGCAACTGTCTTTCAACCGGACTGCTGGCAGAATGCCATGCCTTCGGTGGGCAAAGAAACCGAACAGATCCTGAAAATCATATCCTCCGATTCGAATTCCAATGGCGGGGAAAGGAAGTTCGAGGAAAACTGCTTGTATCTAAACGTTTTTGTACCTGATGGTAAGTTCTTTTATATTTTAAAAACCGGATTTTGGATTATGCCTTTAAAAATCTTAGAAACTAGGACTTGAAGTCTGGGGGTTTAGAAAGGTCAGGCAAATTACACGTCTTAAGCCAATTATTTTAGTTTGTTTCCTATACAGGCATTTCCATTTGAATACAGAATGAGAAAATCTAACGGCCGTTTTCTCGTCCCAATTCGGTATTCAAAAATATTGCTTTAAAACAATTTTAATTAGTCTAAGAGGTTATGAAAGAGGTTCAAAACTAAAAAAGTAGTATACATAGTAAATATTATTTACTGATATTAAATACAAATGTGTATTTTTTATTTTTAAATTTTCTCATTTAGGATTGCCCGAAATCAATGGATATGCAGTTGTTGTGTGGATTCATTCCGGCGATTTTTCCACTGGCAGTCCGGCAGACGTGGAGCCATTTCAATTGGTGTTTAAGCAGAAGGTAATCGTCGTGACCTTTTCGTATCGGCTGAATATCTTTGGATTCTTCACAACCGACGACGGCGAGGCCCAGGGAAACTATGGACTCATGGATCAGTCGGCGGCACTTTATTGGGTCAAGAAGAACATCAACTTCTTTGGCGGAGATTCCAATCGGATTACCCTGATGGGTCATGATGCCGGGGCCGTAAGCGTAGCCCTTCACATGACCTCGGGTGAGTGGTCAAAGGGTGGTTTTCACAAGGCCATCATAATGTCTGGGAATCCTCTGAGTCCGGTCAAAATGCCCTACGAATATGAGGGATCCCTCGATCAAGTTTCCAGCACCTTCGGCTGCCCGCGAAGACCTACTTCTATGTTTATTCAGTGCCTGAAAAGAATTGATGCCAAGAGGCTTTCGGAGAACTTGCCCTCGGTGAGTTGGGGTCCCGTTGTGGACTTCGGATTGAGCAATACCTCGTATCCCTTTATCGAGAATCAACCGGAGATCCTGTTCAAAAAGGGGAGCTATCACAGGGTGCCCGTCATCATTGGGGTGACCGATATGGAGGAGGTCCTTACTATATTCAAGGACAATCTCGATACGGAAATAAGTGCTTCGGATTTGGAGGGATTCTACAATGATATTGCGGTTAACGACATGCACAAACTTGTTCGAAACTACGAGTGGTGCTCAAACTACGAGTTGATATCCGATGCCATAAACTTTATCTACGCAAATGAGTCCGATACGGATGTGAAAAAAGCTAATAAGCAAATAATAAGTGCTCACACGGAAAAGTTCTACACCACTCCGATGCAAACGTTTGCCGATCTGATAAGTAATGACAGCCAAGTCTATAGTTACCTGTTCAAGATGCGACCCAGATCGGTCCAAGATCTTCCCAGTTGGATAAGTGTGCCCAAGTACTACGATCAGGTCTTCGTCTGGGGCAATCCCTATATGACCAACTCGGTTGAATGGAAGTCAACCGATAAGAAAATCGCCGACATAATCATGACCTTGTGGGCGAACTTTGCCAAGACCTCAAACCCCACAAAGTCGAATGTATATGTGAAATGGAATGCCATGTCACCCAACAATGACTCAGTGCTTCTAATCGACGAGAGCTTCAACACGGACAATTTACTAAACAATCAGCGGCTCAACTTTTGGAAATCGTTATACCCGAAAATTCTAGTCTTCTCCGCCGATTGTTGCAATTCCACATTCTCGGGTAGCGCCCTAGTGATCGCCACTTCCGTTCCAATATTATGTACACTTAGCATTATCGTTAACATATTTTGAATAAAGAGATCCTGCAAATAGATACCGCTTAGACCCTCTGTCAGTAATCTGTCCTACCGTTACTTATATAAATAAATACTTGAAAACAACAGAACCAATAAATATAAAGTTCACAGGTTGTCGTCTATTAGTTTAGATATTGGTTTGCTACCCTGGCATATATCTAGGGGGTATATAGGTTTTATAGGTTTATAGGTATATGCTCTATAGGTTTTTAAAAGTGTTTAAAAATTATGTAATCCCTATTCTGTCATTCTTTTAACACTTTAAAACCGTAGTGATTTGGGAGATTTAGTTTTCGCAACCTTATTAGTATTCCAAAATTACCGAAACTTTTTTTTTCAATTTGTGTTTATTTCCAGAATTTTTGCGTTTGTAAACACATTTTAATATTAAAACCAATAACAATTATTGCTTTTAGACATATTCCGTTACATCAACCAAGAAAAAAGTGATATATGTATATCGAACAATTATGGCCTTTCTAATAGCATGGACACGTCTTGTAAAGTCAACCAACAAAAAGGGATTTATATCGATATATCGGCAAGTGCAACACTTAATTGAGTCATTTCTGGGAAGACAACATCAAGTTCCACTTCAAAACTAGAGTGGGGTTCAACCAAAGCAGACCGAATAACTTTTCCCTGGGCAGATGAACGGTGCCGCACATAACCCACATGGTGGATTGGTTCCCGGAGACCCACGGAGTGCGGAACAGGACCTTGGATCGTGCGTACAACGATCGATTTGGGCGGTCGACCTTCCGCAACGCTTTCGCCGACATCAGACGGTGCCTCGAGGAGGAGGTGTCTGCCATGAAGCTCGCTCCAGGTTGGCTGACGAGGTGCTAGAGGAGAGCCTGCGCCATCTGCACTATATGGAAGCTGCGGTTGAAAGGTTTTTCGCCTCCAGTGGGGTCGACACGTTTGAGCCCAGATACAGATTCCGAAAAACCATGACAATAAAAGGAATATTGTCCTTTCATTGCTTTATACCACGAACCGAAAAATTACTTATTGCCAAGCACAAATCATTACAAAAATCCACTTTTGTTAAAATAATAACCTAAGTTAATAAAAAAATAATTAAATAATATTTTAAGCAAATAATTCGTTTTTGGTGTTTAGATATCGTCAGCAGACTATTAAATGACTCCTAACCATAAGGCTCTAATAAGAACGAGCGAGATGCACAACATGCTTTGGCGTGCTTTTATTAAAAAAAAATCGATATTTAAAAAACTAAAAATGGCTCCAACTTTTTACAAAAACCGATTGTAACTAACCATTAACCGCAAGTTTTAAAATAAAAAAAAAATTTTTTTTTTCCGAATAATACGTGTAAAAAAGTTTCGGTTGTGTTCGGTTCGGTTTGTATACATTTTCTATTTATTTTCATTTTCATTCCACAGCATTTCGATAATTTGAAATTTGGATCAGCGTACTTTCTCAGCCGCTGCGCTGCCCGCGTTGACGAGCTGTTTACCGTTGTACAGAAAGTCATCTTCACATTACCATTATCATCTCGTCAATTGATGGAGGATAATGAAGATTTCATAAAAATTTAAATAATAAAAGATGGAGGATAATGAAGATTTCATAAAAATGTAAATAATAAAACATAATAAATGAAACTAAACTAATATAAAGTAGAAGAAAACTTTTATATATAGTTTGTTTTTTTCTTGCTTCGGTCTGCTTCGGTTGAACTCCACTCCAGTTGTGAAGTGGATCTTGATGTTGTCTTCCCAGAAATGACTTCTTGGCTAAATTAAGTGTTGCACTGCCGATATATCGATAAATCCCTTTTTTTTTGGTTGATGTCACGGGACGATATAAATCCCTTTTTATTGGTTAATGTCACGGGATATGTCTATGTGTGAGATGAGCCATAATTGCGTCACCGTCCCAACGTAAAAACAGAAGAGAGTACTTCGACTATCAGATACCCGTTACTCAGCTAAAGGGAGTGCGAAGGACATGGAGATATGCAGGTCGTCAAAGCCCCATCTAGAATTCATTTCGATAGGTATTAATAAACCCAACAAAATGGCATTAAAACTTGTACAAAATCTGTAAAGATGTGGGCATGGCAATAAAATATCTAGAATTCCAGAAACAGCACCGACCGAGTATTCATTTTAACTGCAAGGGTATATAAACTTCGGCTTGCCAAAAATAACTTTCTTGCTTTTAATTTTTCTCAGTCGGTATTGCCCAAAATCAATAGATATTCCTTATGGATTCACTCCGTATAATTTTTTACTTGCGGTCTGGCGTATTGACATGGCCCGATACTCCAACAAATATAAAATTCACTGTTTGTCGTTTATTAGTCGTTCGAAACTTATACGATATTGGTTGCCATACATATAGAGAGTGCCGCAGAAACCTCTAAGATGCGAAAAAAGGTGTTCTTTTAGACATATTTATAGGAGATTAAAAAACCCTAGTGATCTGGGAGGTTTCGTTTTGGCTAGTTACGCCATGAAGATTCAGTCGGAGGTCAGAATGCTTTTTCTGTACTTATTTTCGAGTCTAACATATACAATTTTTAAACTAATCACCACTCATTTAATCGCCTTTTACACATTCATTAGTAAATGTCGTTGTTTTTTGGAGCTAATATAAATATTTTTCGTGGAATTGCAATACTACAGCTACTCGTCAGCCTCAAAAATGTGGGCGTTCAAAAGCTGGAAGGCCCTAATATGAATTTTGGAGCTTATTGCATATTGGGGGTCCAGTTCTTGAACGCGCTTTTTTGGTCGAAATTTTAGGCCATTGTCAATGTGCCCGCACCGATTCCATAGCCCACGCCCTTTGGTCCGTAGAATTTTCCATAGCACGATCGGCAATATATACCGCCATCGGGGCCGTCGTTCAAATTTGTCGAATCCAGATACTTTCGGCACTCCATGCAGTAAAAGCACAGCTTGTGCCACACATTATTCTTGCTCTTCATCTGCTCGGCTGCGAAAACCATAAATCCGCACCGGGGACATCCAGTCTCCGACTTTTGTCCATTGCGATCGATGGTTCCCCAGCTGAAAAAAAGGAAATGGGAGAGATATCTTAGATTAAATATAACAAGAGAGAACGCTATAGTCGGGTTGGTGTCCCGACTATCTAATACCCGTCACTCAGCTAAAGGGAGTGCGAGGGAGATGTAAATAAAAAATTTTGATTGCATATAACTTTTTAATGAATGGTCCGATTTGAAAAATGTCTTCTACATTTCGATAGTTATAAATATACACAAAAAAATTGCATTTACACTTCCTGGAAATCTTTAAAGGTCTGGGCGCCAGACACACACATAATTTATGGGGTCGGAAACGCTTCCTTCAGATGTTACATACTTTTGCACGAATAAAATATACCCTTTTACTCTACAAGTAACGGGTATAAATATGCTTAAGTACTTCTATAGATCCAGGATCAAGATGTAATCACACAATACTAAATACTTACCAGCTGGGCGTGTACTCGTAGTTGGTGGACACCAGAGTGGGCGTGTGTCCGTATCCGAATCCCTTGGGGCCGTACAACTTCGCGTAGCAGAGTTTACAGTAGATATTATCATCGGGACCATCACAGGCGAGCACGGAGTCCAGAGGACGAGTGCACCTGGCACAGTTGAAGCACTTCCTGTGCCACATCTTTCCCTTGGACAGCTGCAACTCGGCAGCGAAAACTGCACCACCGCAGCGAGGACATCCCTCGCCATCAGGAGCCATGATCGAAGTAGTATCCGGAGCCACAAATGGTCGCTCGGATCCCAAGTTCTCTTCACTGTATAATTATTTTATTCATTATTTAGTTAATTCTTTATTTTAAATATGTCCTTACGTAATGCCATCGGTTTGCAGGAAACTGGAGCCACAGGCGAAGCCGTATCCGTGGGGTCCCCACTTTTTGCCATAGCAAGTCTTGCAGTATACCTCATTGTCCGGACCATCGCACGCGATAATGGAGTCCAGAGTTTTGGTGCAATCCCGACATTTGAAGCACTTCCGGTGCCAGGGTCTTCCTTTCGAAAGGACCTGTTCGGCGGCGAAGACAACGCCACCACAACGGGGACATCCTTCGCCCAGAGGTGCCTGAATTTGCTCGACATTTATGACAGAGGCTTTCGGAGCCATATCGCTAATAGAATCATTATCTTGCAATCAATATACCTCACTTAAATTTTGGTTACTAATATTACCTTTGCCATTCGCAGTCCTTGATATCAGACATTAGCCCCAAGGAGGAAATGCCAATGTGTCCATAGCCCCTAGCACCAAACTTCTGAGCATAACATCCTGAAAAGCTTATATTTCTAAAGATCAAAGTCCTGAAACTCTAGGGTTCTGAGTATACCTCTGCAGTAAATGTCCTTGTCTGGACCATCACAGTGAAGAGTTGAGTCCAAGGTCTTATTGCATTGCACGCACTTGAAGCATCTCCGATGGTAGCCCTACAATAATACCCGAAAAACCTAGATCATTTTGATAGTTCAGACCCGACCCCCTTACCTTTCCTCTGGCCAACATTTGCTCGGCAGCATAAACATATATGCCACACCTCGGACAGCCCAACCCATCGGGTGCTTTTGGTGGAATCTTCGGCGCAACAAATCTAAAAAGATTCAGATGCTTCCCTCAATTATAGTGCTTTAAATGGACATTCATTAGGGGAGCATCATCTTAGTCACACAAAACAGAGACCGAAAAGACGGAAAGGTCGGTCGTTGTGCCCCAACAAAAAACGAAATGGGGGAATACAACAGATCCACATAGACAGCGACAAGAGAGAATACGAATAGACAACCTAAAAATAACACGTGAATAAGCTTACAAATACTTAGTTTTATTGTACATTTTATTTTATCAATTTACAGTCTGTGGGCGTTGTAAACAAAGATACAAAAATGATTTTTACCAAAGACCACAATGTGTTTGTATAACATTAAACAATCGTATATGCATTTTCGGTATAGTTAGTGGAATTTTTCCAGGGAATTAGAAACTGGATATCCCTGGCGATTTCTGGCCCAGACAAATAAACATGGGTGGGGTTTTTATTTTTCGGGGGAACTCTTGGGGTATTCTTGGGGATGGAAAACATTTAAAACATACAGGTTCTAATAGAAAGCAAAACTACACATTTAATTCAAGGAATTTTACACAATTTTCATACAAAACATATTTTTAAGTTAGTCCTTACTCTCTGTTTAAGTGGGCGCCAGTGTCCGTGGACAGGCAGCCGGCACCACCACCGAAACCGTATCCCTTAGGACCGTATTTGCGACCATGGCAGTTTTTGCAGAAAAGCTCCTTCTCGTGCTCCGTGCAGTTGGTCGAGTCCAGGGCCTTGTTGCACATGCCTGGAAACGAAGGGTTTTAGTTCTAGCTATCCGGCTCGAAGGACCAAGTCCTGCAGATCCTGCTCGAAGGACCAAGATACTTACTGCACTTGAAGCAGGTCTTGTGGAATTTGTAGCCTCCGGCAACGCGCTCCTCGGCGGCGTAGACCGACTTTCCGCACGCGGGGCACTTGGGGGTTTCCACGGGAACAAAAGGCATTTTGATCTGAGTGCGTGTGTGTCTGCGAATGGGGGCAAAAAACTCTGATTATAGCTAACTGCAGCGGGTGGTGCTTGTAAATCGGCGCGATTGAATAATATATATGTGATAATCCTTAGGATATATATGTCTGTGTATACCTCGGAGGTACTCTGTGAAGTAGTTCCTATTCGTCGGAAATGCCGCGGACTAGACTGGAAAGATTCTGTACACAGGTAGTCTATATTTGTGGATGCACACGGCACAACTAAGAAAATACAGTTTGCGTAATAAAAACAGCACTTTCTGAATATATCATTATTTATCATGCAATGCCCACGGCTGTGTGTATGTGTACCCTCGGCTATATCCACGCCGATGTCTCATTTTTGGGATGGTAACAGCCTATAGTAACTTGGATCTTTAAATACCCATTCTATGTTCATTATTCTGAAGTGCTTTGTTTTATTGCATTCTCAAGTGCTTGGCCTGCAAGTGTTTTGGGAAAAATCGAAATATTTAACTGGCTACTTCTCACGAAGGTTCTAGGGTTTACCCAGTCTTACCATACACCACACCCCCACCAGCCCACCTATATGTAATCCGATTTTACGCAACAATTAATTTATTAGCTTTCGACACGCACACCAAAATCCGCGCAGATGTAAATATGTATGTTTGTAGTCTAAAAATATATGCACACCCATGCGATATGTATCAAAGTACATTCATGGCCTTATTTTAGTCTTAGAAATACAAAAATAACTCATAACTGGTCAACCCAATTCCATAAATAAATATGTTACGCATACTATGTAAAAATATCGCTGTTCGATCTTGATCGGAATCAGATTTACACACCATTTAATGTTCGAAAATACGTTCCAGTTTTCGAAAAAAGCAGTATTCGTGTGTGGATCGAATAGCCACAAGTGTTTCATTAGGGGCAAAATGAATATGCATATGGAAATGAAGCATCTTTTCATCATCGGCTGCGATGCCCATGTATAAACATATCTATAAATAAACGAGTCTCTGGGTATTTGTTAATTGTAAATCGCTCACTTGCGATTGGCAATGAGCCTAACAATTTATGAAGGCCAGACCTATTGACTCGTGATTTTTAACAATATGGTTTGCTTTGTGCCCGCATTGTTTATCCGTTGTCGAATCCGAGATTTCGATACCACCATTATTTTTTGGCGACAGTTCAGGGTTAGTTTGCAAGAATGTCGGGAATTATCCACTCGATCGCCCCAAGAAAACGCGGAAGTATATTTTAATTACCTCTATAGGTGGACAATTAATATAAAATAGAAATGTGGCACAGCACTGAGTCATTTATATTAATAACCGCACCGCGCATAATTATGAATATGTAATGTAATTATTTACCATTTCTTTGGTTTCGTTTATCTTTGGTTTCAATAGTTAATATGCAGCTGGGGAAAAAACTATAGGTTGCTGACCTGGTCTCGCTTTATTCAACAAAGAAGGCCTCACCTTCAAGCCCATTCTTCGACAAAGTGTGACTGGCCTTTTAGCATAACAAAGAAATTAATTTACACCAATCAGTTCCAGATGTTGTGATAATCAGCTTATCAGATATCATTTATTATTTATAAAATAGATAAATTAATTAATATACAAATAATTATTATAATTGTACATTTGACTTCATCTTTTATTAAACCATCCAATAGTTAATCGTAATTTATACAAATTACAGTCGCTGCAATACAAATTATGTAAAATAATGTATATAGTTTACAGTCACTGTAGAAATATGTTAATTTAGGTTGAGTCCGACTTCAATCGATTGGCGAACTCAACTTGCTGGATCTCCCTCCACTCTTTCTTTGGCTTCATCCGCTTCAATTGCCCGTCCCAGACGAGATCAATCAAGCCTCCCTGCTTGGCGATAACGCTCTTCACCCGGTTCGCAAAGTCGATCGCCGTCTCTCCATCCTGCCTGTACATTGGAGGCAGGTACCACACATCGCACACAATGGCCCACGAGGTCATCATCATGTACAGATACTGCATCATCGAGTACTTCGCGCTGTTCCAGAAGGCATCGCCAAATCTCGGATCGTACCTTGAAGACAAATTATAAATTAGACTTAGTTTGAAATACCCAGCAACATCCTTATTAAGTACTCACTTAATGGCCACCGGATAGATGACGCCGCCAACTTCGAAGCTTCCCTTCTTAAATTGCATTACCGAGGTGTTGTTGATGCAAGTTCCCTCGGGGAAGATGAGAATCGGTGGGTTGTTTGGATCAGAAACGTGCTGCTTCAGTCGCTCAGCCACTAAATGCCGATCCTTGGCCTCGCCACGTTCAAACCAAATGTGAGGGGATGCTCTGGCCAGAGCTCTTTGCAAAACCCCCAAGAAGCCTCCATGGCGTTGACCAATCTAGAAAATCGGATGTAAGCTTATTATCTGGTTTTAAAAATGCACACAATTAAAAGCACATAAAGCCAAAACATTAAACATGCAAAACATAAAACCATCACCAAAGCAAACTACAATTCGGGTTAGTACCTGCGCGTGCATAATTTCGGGGAGATATAATTGTTTAAATTCAGCCCTATAATATTTCTGTAGAGCTATATCAGATCTCGAGCTGACATCAGAGTTTTTATATCTTTGAGTAATAATAGGGGCATTTAAAAATTTAGACTCGGAAACTAAAATATTTGATCCATTTACTATTTTGGGAAACAAACTAAATAAATAAAAAGGGTTATAAACATTTGTGATTATATTCACTACTGGAAACTAGGAAAATAAGATGTTAAATATAAAGATCGTGATTATTTCCATACAGGGGTTAGTATCTACAGGTTCCAATGTGGCCTTACCAGGGAATAGGTCGAGTCACACATCAGGACCAGCACATCTATGGGGCTGGTATGATTGGCAACACAAATACCAGATGACGGGCGATTATCCTCATTGTGGTAGGTTATAACCGCCGATATTGCGCTGGACAAAACACCGAAGCACATGCCGAGCACCTTGTGCACGAGATCGCGCTTGAAGGGCCCATCCTTTAAATATCCCACTGCAGCCGTGCAAACTGTTAACCACACTACCTAAGATTGCACGAAACGAGAATGGGAACAGTAAGGGAATTCAATTATATAGAGCTTTAAGGTCTTTGGCATAATCTTGATAGTTGGGGTTGTTCAAAATCATTGGAGGTCTTCATAGCAGTCATCTTTGATTCTTGACTCACATCCTAAACTGATTTAAAGGAGAAGTTTAATTTTCTGTAAGTACAATAGTTTTCATTATCTCAATCCTCAAAATTAACTTCTTATGGACTTAGATTGTTTAGATCTGTAGATTCTATAGTTCTATATTTTTATTCGCTCATGCGAATTGATTATTTTTCGTAAGACCACCCCGCAAACAAAATTCCCCGGGGAAACCACACAAAACAGCTGAAACTAATCGTCAGACGTAATATAGGAAGGTAAATCGTGCACGGGTAACCGTTAAAGCAATAAATTCAATAATAAATTAATTGATTTCATACCCATGGCGCTTATCTTACCTGATTCGCGTTCTTGGATACTCGCACAGCAAACAAATAAACTAAAAATCAGCCAAAGTTTACATTACAGAAGACACACATTTAGGCGGGGACAATAACAAAAGCCAATATTGCAACATAGAATAGTACCACATGTAAAACTGCACCTTTAATTAAATTCATGCATGCATTCTCGAATCGACTTTCTGCTTGAACTCGGAATAGTTCCGTCTTATCGGGTTGTTATAAAAAAATTCATGTCAGCAAGGTTGACCAAAAGTTATCGAGGCTTGTAGGTATGTTAATATGCGTCGGGTCTAAACTCCATGTATACAAAGATAATGGCTATCGGGCAAGGCACATTCAATGGAACTCTTTGATAACATTGGTCGAATGAAAACTAATAAAATCGTTGAACCATATATATCTGCAGTTACTAGGCTGCTAGTCAAAGTCTGAAGCCCATGAAATTCTTTATTTTTACAGACATTTAACGATCCTGCTGATCATGAAATAAATCCCCAGAATTTAGTACTTTTACATACGAGAACGGATTACAAAAATATGCGATTTCGGGTGTTACATGCATGCATTTTTTTTAAACTTAAAATGAACCAGTTTTATGTGAAGAATTTAAGTAAAAATTTCTTTCTCACCAAAGAATAGGTACAATCGGTTGATAATATAGCCACATCCAAGGGAGAGGTGTGGTTGGCTACACAGAACCCAGAAATGGTGGGCTTATATTGTTTATTGTGGAACTTGATAAAGGAGGACATAGAACTTGAAATAAGGCGGAACGTAATTTTGAATGACAAGCTCGCTAGAGAAAGCCGTACAAATCGAAAGGGTAAACAAGCCACAATCGAGTTTGATAAAACTGCAAATAAAACCTAGGAATTAAATAATTTGTATTAGAGAAGGATTAAATTATAGGACAGACACAAAACAAATAAATAATGAAAAAAATAAATTGAATTACTGATTTACATGGTTAAAAATTAATCAACAAAAATTCGGTTAGATCACTGTTTTAAATTGGGAAGTATCTGTAGTAACTTCTAGTAAAAGTTAGTGCAAGCAATTCATATGTTAAATGCGCAATTCAGGTTCGTCCGCATAAACCCTATACTTTTTCTCTAAAATCCATGTCTTAGGTGGTATTTAATCAGTTGTAGAAAGCACTTCCCTTTTTTGGTAAATACGTCACAAACAGTTTCGGTCCGTCTAATCACTTTCTTTTTGCACACTGTAGGGGTAACTATTCAACAGCCCGATTCCCATGCATGATGATAATTTAACTTCCTAAATGCGAATAAAATATTGACGAGGATACTCCTGGAGGGTAATTATTCGCATGCATGGGAATCGGGACAAGTCGTTGTGGAAGAGCCATTAAATCAACCGATTATACTCACACCAACGAAGCAGACCAGTACTCGGAGTGGCATTAGGATTACGTATCGGATGAAAAAGCCAAACACCCAGATGGAAGTTATTTTCCAGGAAATAAATTCATAGTGCCTATTGGTGCGTGTGAGCATGTTCCAGCTCTTGAGCTCCTCAGCCTCAAAACGCGATGTTACATCGTCTTCGATAATGGCTTCCACGCCTGACTTGACGTAGTCCAGACACTTTTCGAAATCAAAATTGATTTCATCCTGAAAGGCATAACAATTAGGGGATTATTGGGTGCCTTTAAAATCGTAGGTGGTACTACCTTCTGGGAGGAAATTGGTTTCTCGGGCGCAGGCTCCTGCGCCTGGGGCAGCAAAACTGCATCCCTGGTGATCAAGGTGGCTCCATTGGTGCCTTCTTTGGAATCGGCGTCGTCCACTAGTTGCACTCCCTGTTTGTCGTCAGTCTTGGGATTTTGAACGGAAAATTGTTGGTTTTCTTTGGATGCTGTCTCTATACTGACTCGACCGTACTGAAAATGGATTTGAATTTGATTTTGATTAGTTATTAACAAGTGAAGCAGGGGGATTATCTACTGATAAGAAAACATATCATAACCATAATCAGGCGAGGTAATGACTGGGCAGTTTACATGTGACCGAAAAGTGTTAAATATGCACTTGAAACACACTCCAAATCAAGGAAAGTTTTAGAACGTTTGAGAACTACTGGCGAAACAAGACGCATTATAGTACATGCGTACGACAGACGTAGTACGATTGTATTCCAAAGCTGACTATATTTATGGACTTTGGAGTACCTTAACTATTCGTAATGCAACACCTTTTGACAATCATCCACACTGCATTAGAGCACCTTTCAAGGGCTTTTTATTCGTAAAGCAAAAACCAAAACAATATTTACCTCGAATATCCTTAGGAGAAGGTTCACATACGCTTTTCGGACGCCGATTGATTTGTTTATGGCGGAAATAAATATCAGAAATGAGAGGAAACCCCCGATGGGGATCCAGAATATGTCCAGTAGCGCGCCGATCATTTTACATTTGGTTCATGGGACATTAGTTATTGTCAAGAGCAAAATGCTTCCGAATTGTGTCGTGCCAATATATACAATGTTAAAATTCTTTTTTTTGCTGTAGAGGGAACTAGAGATGGCCAATGGCTGTGTTGAAAACCTGCCTCGTGCCCCGAAAACCTGGCCCGCGCTCATCTCTAGCGGGAACGAACGGAAGGGGGGAGTTCGGGAACCGATTGGAAGCGGAATGGCTTGTTCCATGCAGGTCGTTCCCCAGAGGTGGGAACAAAGGTGCACTGAAAGAAAATGGGGTAAACTCGCACTCTAATTCTTGAGTACCACGTACTTATTTAAAAGCGTGTCGGAAGTCATTAATAAATTGCCAAGCACATTCACATTGTTCGGTAGAATTTAATACGTGTTAAAGGAAGTATCGATACCATTAGTTTTCTACGAAAGATCAAGTTTATCGATAACTTTTAGTTAAGTCAGACGTATTAACTTTAAATTAAAAAATAATATAATTGTAACCGCATAACTTAAGACCATAACTAACTAAACATCAAAGCAAAGAATAAATTTAATAAAGATAATAATTACAATTTCCATAGGTATAAGTATACTCTTTGCCCCCCATATGCCTTGGGCGCTAAAGCTCTTTTTATTATCTATTTACCAGTTAGCACACTAACCACCAGCTAATATAAGAAACGAAAACAAATCAAATCAAATCAACAGATCCAAATCCACTTACAGAATACCCCTGACGTTCCGCAGGTGCAGCCACGAAACCGATAACACGGGGAACGCTGGAATCAGAACGGACAAGTGGATGGTGTTCCCCAAGTGTGTTTTTTTATGTTGGCAGTTCCGTAATTATTATTATTACTATTATTTATTGCAACGAAGTTTAGTTTTTAACACATTAATGTTATAGTTTCGCCTAGCGCAGCGCGATGGAGTGATATGTATATGAACGAACATATATGTGCGCGTGCCTAATCGCTAAGATAATTCTATGTAGTTTTCGTTTGTATACAATAAGTGCCTTTTATATGTTAACGACGATGTCAGCCAGCAGCAACAGCAATGCAAACAGCCTGATCGAGAAGGAGATCGACGACGAGGACATGCTGTCGCCGATCAAGTCCACCAATCTGGTGGTGCGGGTCAACCAGGACACGGACGACAATCTCCAGGCGCTATTCGATAGCGTCCTGAATCCGGGAGACGCCAAGCGCCCGCTGCAGCTGCCCCTGCGCATGCGGAAGCTGCCCAACTCCTTCTTCACGCCCCCGGCTCCCTCGCATTCGCGGGCCAACAGCGCCGACTCCACCTACGACGCGGGCTCCCAGTCGAACATCAGCATCGGCAGCAAGGCGGCCCAGGTCGTCCAGCAGCCGGATGGCCAGTCGCCCATCCCACAGCAGCTCCAGATCCAGCCATCTCCGCAGCACAGCCGCCTGGCGATACATCACTCCCGTGCCCGCAGCAGCCCCGCCTCGCTGCAGCAGAACTACAATGTGCGCGCCCGGAGCGACGCAGCAGTAGCCGTAGCCAACAATCCGAATGCCAATCCGAGCAGCCAACAGCAGCCCGCTGGGCCCACTTTCCCCGAGAACAGTGCCCAAGAGTTCCCAAGCGGTGCCCCGGCCAGCTCCGGCCAGATCGATCTGGACGCCATGAACACCTGCATGTCGCAGGACATACCGATGTCCATGCAGACAGTGCACAAGAAGCAGCGCTCCTACGACGTCATCAGCCCCATCCAGCTGCAGCGCCAACTGGGCGCCTTGCCACCGGGATGGGAGCAGGCCAAGACCAACGATGGTCAGATCTACTACTTGAAGTGAGTATGAATAAATTACAGATGGTATCATATGTATGTATTTCCATCTGAATGTAGTATTGTAAAAGTAAGTACATAGTAATGGTTGATGATCTAAAACTAAATCAATTTATAGCATTAATAGCATTGGAGTAAAAGAATACCTATAATAACACAAGTCTTAACAATGAGTTATTTATTTAAAAGTACAACTTAGACATTCTTATTTGCCAATAGAAATGTATGGATACTAATTTAGTTAGGATACAGGAATTAAAAATTAAGTTTTTTTCTAAAGATTTATCCTATTAACATACAAATGACGCGTACTTTTTAATCAGAAAACTAATGAGTCACAAAAATCTCAAGATTTTTTGATAGACTTTAATAATTTTAAGTTTTAAGTTATATGACCAACGAAAGCATCTCCATAATGGTTTTTCCTACTTCCAGTCATACTACAAAATCTACGCAGTGGGAGGACCCCAGAATTCAATATCGCCAGCAACAGCAAATCTTAATGGCCGAGCGGATAAAGCAAAATGGTAGGTTCCAATGGTGACTTCATGCCTTAGATAAGTAAATCGTTAACTGCCTGTGGCTGCGTTTCATTGTTAACCCATTTAAATCATCTGTTGGAGAACTAATTAATTCTATAGGCTAGGCAGGGATAATATAGGCTCTAACTCATATCATTTAACGCATGAATAGCATATAAACCAGTTTAAGGGAATCCATTCAATTTAAGTAAATGCATTAAACTACGTTTTTGGGATTGGGTTGGAGTCTTATCATTTTGGCATTCGGAGTTGGGAGGTTCGTGTTGATTTAAAATTTATAAAATGGATTTTGCAATGTGCTGCATGATGTTTGCAAATGCCCCACAGTTATCATCCGCTTACACTGCAGCATTTCCTTTTAGACCTATTTTAATTTGTTTTTATTTACTTTGGTTTGTAATTCATTGTTTTTGTTCGATAGATGTTTTGCAAACTACAAAACAAACTACCACATCGACCATTGCTAACAATATGGGTCCACTGCCGGATGGTTGGGAGCAGGCAGTTACCGAGTCCGGAGATCTTTACTTTATAAATCACATTGATCGAACGACTTCATGGAATGATCCCAGAATGCGTAAGTCTCGTTCCAACACCCCAACTAGCGTAAGACAACGAGACACACACAGAGATATCGCAATCGTAGAGATATCGCTAGATAACACTTGAGTGCGCAGTGGGCGGGGGGCGGATCACGTAATTCCCATGGCATCTCTGCTTTCACTATAGTACTGATCTTGAGATAGAGGCTGAAACACTCCTAATCTTTCTCATGCCTTTATTAACATCTCCTATTACCATATATCTTTGCAGAATCTGGGCTTAGCGTGCTCGACTGCCCAGATAACTTAGTGTCTTCCCTCCAGGTAAGCATTATTCGACCCCCGAAAACCCAACCCCTATTGGACTACTGAGTTTCACCAATTTCCCCTTTCAGATTGAGGATAATCTTTGCAGTAACTTGTTTAATGACGCACAGGCCATTGTAAATCCGCCGTCTTCCCACAAACCTGACGATTTGGAATGGTATAAAATTAATTAATTCAAATGTATACATCTGTATTAGACCTAAAAGTTTTATATTTTGTATTATTCTAAATTAAATATTTTTCAAATTTTATAGTATTTCTTTACATACATATTATTGAAGTTTCTGTGTTTATTAATCTTGGTGTGCTTTTACTCTCTTGGCCCCTGGTGCATCGTCTTAACTCAAGGGTTTCAAATTAACGAACTGATTAAAAAGAAGAAATCGGCGCGGCTAACTAATTCAGATGACTTTCGATTGCCAAAGAGAGAGTTCAGGTGGTTTAAAGGTGTGGTTAGCAGCGATGACTCATGTAAAAAACCGCATTCCCCTCAACTTTTGTAAAGTGCGAGTAAAAGAAGAGCAGAACTGTTCTGTAATATGGTTTTGTACCAGAATGTAGCGTACTTGATGTCCTCTTTAAGCATAATGGGGCTGTTTTTAATTGTAGCTAGAGATGATAGCCTCTAGATAAGTCATCGTATTATCAACTTTTTAACGTTATCTTTAAGCTATCTTCATGACAGTCATATATGGCTGACGTTCCTCCAATCATTACTGGTCCATGATTCATGATCAAAATACCTAATTTTCCCTTGAATTATGTAAGTCATTGTTTAAAGACTGTCCAAATTTATTCAATTTAAATTATAATTATTGCCCTTCTCAACCAATAAGGAGTTTCTTCATCATTTCGTTATCTATTAAATATTAGTAATTTTATTTTTAACTATAATAATCTTACAATTTTACAAAATTTCTATAAAAGCGTACAACAACAGTAATTTTTTTTTTGCCGATTCTCTTGCGTCAAGTTCATCTCTCGAACGATGGTGGCGAATACTTCGTTTACGTTTATCCGATCCTTTGCCGATGCTTCGATAAATGGACAGTCCCACAGTTGTGCCAAGGCATTACCTTTGAAAAATATTAAAAAAACAAAGCAAAAGCATTAGTATTCGAATTCAGAAGAAATATATGTGAGTAATCAAAGAATATAGATGCTTACCTTCAGCGGTGGATACCTCTCTTTGGCAATCTAAATCGAATTTGTTCGCGACTAGTAGGATGGGTGCTGGCTGACTTCCTTTAACTCGAGTGATCACATTTTTCATACTAGAAATATCCTATAGAAACAAAGAACGAATTAGCTTCAATACAAAGATTAAAAATCTTGGTAAAAATAAAATGTGAAGTAAGCACGATGACCACAAAATTACTTGTGGCTTTCATACCTGAAATGTTTGATGGTTCGTAAGTGAATACATTACAATAAAACCATGACCATTTTTGATATAGAGATCTCTCATGGAAGCGAATTGCTCTGTTCCCGCGGTGTCCAATATTTCCAAAACGCATGGCGAGCTGTCCACCTGCAAATGCAAATAAAAGAGATCCATTTTTTAGTAAAATAGTTTCAGGGCGTTGAACTCAAATAGGAATGTCTTAAGAACATGGGTAAACATTTGTTCTCTTGACTTGGGACGGATTAATTGGAATAGTTATTTACTCTTCAAGGGGTATGTCAATAGGTTTACTTTTCCGTAAGTAAACTGCAGTATTAGGGGTTGTACAAGTGCTTTCTGCAAAATGGGGTAGTATATACGATTGTGGGCATGTGCGAATGCGGAAGAAATGCTTGCTCTTTGTCTTTTAACATCATTAGATATATGTATTTCGTTTTGACGAAAGCGACTTTTATGCGCTTGTATCTGGTTTTTAGAATGAAAAGACCGT